ATAGCTGCTGGTCCTGTCCATCCCTAAACCACGTTTCTGTAATTGCTATGATGTCCCAGTCCCATATTCCCAACCATGTCCTGAGTTATCTGTCAGGCCTCTTGCTTTGAAATAAATGGGATTTAATTTATCAGCCCTACCTCCTTCTCTGCTTTGTTCCTGCCTGAGTGTTAGACTTGCTCCTCTTCCCAACTGCACCAGTGTCAGACTGATCCCTTTTCTCACTATCTCCCTAGGTCCCGTTCCCCCGTTAACCCCCCCCCCCCACCAAGCCAAACTGGTTTAAATGGTCCCAAGCAGCTCTAGCAGATCTCCCCACCAGTATATTAGTCCCTTTCTAATCCAGGTGCAATCTGTCCTTCTTATACAGGTCACCTCAGAAGAGATTCTAATGATCCAAAAATGTGAATCCTTCTCCCCTGCACCAACTCCTCAGCCACGCATTCATCTTCTCTATCCCCCTATTCCTACTCTCACTAGCTCATGGTACCAAGAGTAATCTAGATATTACTACCCTCAAGGCCTATTTTTTAACTTCCTGCCTAATTTCCTATATTCTCTCCTCGGAACCTTGTCCTATTCTCATCCTGTGTCATTAGTCCCAATGTGTATGACAACTTCCTGCTGGTCCCTCTCTCTTTTGAGAATATTCTGCATGCTCTCTGAGATGTCCTTGATCCTGGCACCAGAGAGGCAACGTATAATTAGATGTCTTGTTGTCAGCCACAGAAACACATGTCTGTGCCTCTGACTAGAGACTCCCCTATCACAACTGATTGCTTGGAACCTGACATACCACTTGTTACATTAGAGCCAGTCTTAGTACCAGAAACCTGGTTGTTGGTGCTACATTCCCCTGAGAGTCCATCACCCCTACATTTTCCAAAACAGCATACATGTTTGAGATGGGGATAGCCACAGGAGACTTCTGCACAACCTGCCTCCCTCACCTACCTTTCCTGGAGGTAACCCATCTACCTGACTGTATCTATGGTTTTTCTCCCTTCCTGCAACTACCATCCATTACATCCCCTAGCTCCTGTAAATTCTTCATTTCCTCTAAGTGCCGCTTTAACCGATCCATGCAATCCAACAGGATTCGCAACCAAACAGACTTCCTGCAGACATAATCATCAGTAACAATGAAATTCTCCCTAATCTCCTACATCCAACAGGAAGAACACATCATTCGACTAAATGCTATCTTTGCATCTTAACAATCCACAGACCCAGAAAATAGCACAGTCTTACTGCTCTAAAAACACTGTTCCAGGATAACTTAGTATTTATGTTTTATATTTTTAAAGTTTAGACAAATCTCAATAAATAGAGGGAGAACTAACTATCTGGATACAGAAGTGGCTTGAAGGTAGAAGACAGTGGGCGGTGGTGGAGACCTGCTTTTCAGACTGGCGGTCTGTGATGGGCGGTGTGCCACAAGGATTGGTATTGGGTTCACTGCTTTCCATTATTTATATAAATGCTTTGAACGTGAACATAGGAGGTATGCTTAGTAAGTTTGCAGATGACACCAAAATTGGAGGTGTAGTAGACACCTGAGGTTACCTCAGAGTACAACGGAATCTTGATCAGATGGGCCAATGAGCTGTGGAGTGGCAGATGGCATTTAATTTAAATAAATGTGAGGTGCTGTCTTTCAGAAATGCAAATCAGGGCCGGAGTTATACACTTAATAGCAAGGTCCTGGAGAGTGTTGCTGAACAAAGACACCTTGGAGTGCAGGTTCGTAGTTCCCTGAAAGTGGAGTCGCAGGTAGATAGGTTAGTGAAGAAGGCGTTTGGTATGCTTGCCTTTATTGGTCAGTGCATTGAGTATAGGAGTTGGGAAGTCATGTTGCGGCTATACAGGACATTGCTTAGGCCACTATTGGAATACTGTGTGCAACTCTGGTCTCCCTGCTATAGGAGACTTGAAAGGGTTCAGAAAAAATTTACAAGAATGTTGCCAGAATTGGAAGGTTTGAGCTATAGGGAGGGGCTGAATAGACTGGTTCTGCGATCACTGAAATGGCTGTGCCAGTGTCAACCTCCATTAGGACTGGGTGACCATTTAACCAGATGTTTATTTTGAATGCTTTTGATTTGAATGTTGCTAAGCAATTTAACTTTTCCAAACCAGCTGTAGATGGACTTTCCAGGGTGTTAGTCTCTTGGATACCAATGTATGAGTTCTGTTACTCAATTTAGGTCAAGTGAGACTCTTTTGTTGTCTTGAATCTATGTTCTAGCAGCAACTGCAATAGCCTGCTGGATCGGATCCTCAAGAAAATTTTATTCATTTGGCCAATTGCCTGCCCTCAAGTGGTGTTCCCCAAGCTCAGTCGGACTGGCAAGGGTGTCCACTTCTCTTGGAATACCCTGTAACTCATGATGGATTGATTGATCGATTTATTGTCACGTGTACCAAAGTACAGTGAAAAACTTTGTTTACAAGCAGTACAGCCAGATTATAGTAAGCAAGGATGTACACATCAAAAAGACTTAGAGGCATACAGGTTATCTTGCACAGGGTGTGTGCTAGGTGAGTTCAACGTTAGCAAGATTGGCATTATTTGAGGCTAGAGAGTCCATTCATCATTTAATAATGGCTGGGAAGGTGGTCCTGAACCTGCTTGTGCGTGTGTTCAGGCTTCTGTATCTTCTGCCTGACTGAAGAGGTTGTAGGAGGTCATTACCAGTGTGGAATGGGTCTTTGATTATGTTGGCAGCCTTTCTGCAGCAGCGAGCCATGTAAGTGGAGTCCGTGGATGGATGGTTGGCTTCTGGGATGGTCTGGGCTGCACACACCACCTTCTGTAGTTTCTTATGGTCCTGGGCAGAGCAGTTGCCATACCAAGCCGTTATCCACAGTCAGTATACTTTCAATGGTGCATCTGTAGAAATTGGTGAGGGCCTTTATGGTCATGCCAAATTTCCTGAGCTACCTGAGGAAGAAGAATTGTTGTTGTGCCTTCTTGACTGTTGCATCTACGTGGCAAGTCCAGGATAGGTTGTCGGTTATCGTCACTCTCAACTTGACGCACTCCGCCCTCTCAACCTCAGTTCCATTGATGTAGATGAGGGCGTGTTCTCCTCCTTTCTTTAAGTCAATGATCAGTTCTTTAGTTTTGCTGATGTTGAGAGAGAGGTTGCTTTCATTGCACCTCATCACCAAGCCCTCTGTCTCCCTTCTGTATTTTGACTCGTTGTTAGATACCTGTCCCACCACGGTGGTGTCATCAGCAAACTTGTAGATGGCATTCGTTCAGAATTTGGCAACACAGTCACAGGTTCACAGGGAGTATAGCATGAGGCTAAGGGCGCTTCCTTGGGGGTCTCCAGTGTTGAGTTTTATTGTGGAGGAGGTGCAGTTACCTATCCTCACTAATTGCGGCCTATGGGTCAGAAAGATGAAGATCCAGTTGCAGACGGCGGAGCCGAGACCAAGGTCATGGAGTTTTGAGATCAGTCTGGAGGGGATAACGGTGTTGAAGGTGGAGCTGTGGTCAATGAACAGGAGTCTGACATAGGTGTCTTTGTTGTCCGATTGTTCCAGGGATGAGTTCAGGAGTAGGGATATGGCATCCACTGTGGACTTGTTATGTCGGGAGGCAAACTGTAGAGGATTGAGGCAGGCTGGGGGACTGGAGTTACTCCACTTGTCACATTTTCCAATGATAAAGCCAGTTGTAGCACCTGTTTGAAGTCTAGTTGGGCTTCAGCTAGTAGGTGATTTTGCATGGTCACGTCATTAATCCCACATACCTAATAGTCTCTCAGCATCTCATTAAGGGTTAAACCAAAGTCACATGCCTCTGCAGTTTGTCTTACCTCAGTCAAAAATCCCAATTCGGATTCCCCTGGTTGTTGAATCACCGAGTAAAACCAATAGCATTTCAGAATTAGAGGAGGCTTGAGTTTGTAATATTCCTTAACTAAATCCGTTAATTCTTGAAAGGTTTTAGTATCTGGTGCCTCGGGGAAAGTTCGGCTCCTAATAATCGAAAAAGCTGCAGGTCCACAAGATGTCAGGAGAATTACTTGTAAGTTTTCATCTGCCCCAATGTCATTTTGTCTTTCTAAATACTGGGCCCAGTCTTCAATGGCAGGATTGAACAAGTCAAACTTCCCAAATAACAGTGTGGTGCCAGAAATGGCTACCCCAAGTGAAAGACAACTGTGGTGAGCAAATTTCTTCAGAAGCATGTTTTTCTCGTCACCACTGAAATAACTCCATAGAGGCCTGTATCCCGTCACCAAGTTGCCCTTTATTTATGCGTGGAGAGTTCTTGACACTGATCCAGCCAGCTCTCAGAGTGAACAGATTGTCTGACACCCCTGTTCTTATCTGTCAGCCAGGGCTCCCTGATTGGACCAGATTAGCAGCCCTAGTCAGAGACCTCAAATTTTAAGATGTCCACCTGGCTGACCGCGTTACGATCACTACAATACCCATCTAACCGAATAGAGAAAAAAATTACTAATTTTAACTTTGTAGGACATGGCACTGTGGCTCAGTGTTTAGCACTGCTACCTCACAGTGCCAGGGATCCAGGTTCGATTCCAGCCCTGGGTAACTGTCTGTATGGAGTTTGCACATTCTTCCCAGATGCTGTAGTTTCCTCCCACACTCCAAAGAAGTGCGGGTTAGGTGGATTGGCCGTGCTAAATTACCTGTGGTGTCCAGGGGTGTGCAGGTTGGGTGAATTAGCCATTGCAATGCAGGGTTATGGGATAGAATTAAGGGCTGGGTTTGGGTGGGATGCTCTTCAGTGGGTTGGTGTAAACTTGATGGGCTGAATAGCCTCTTACCGCACTGTTGAGATTCTATGATGCTGTTCTGACAGTGATAATCTACTTTTTCTTTGTAGGGCAACCCGTCTAACTGTTAACATTATATGCACTGTAAAGAATTTTTTAAACACTTTTGTTTTCTTGAATTCTGTACAATTAAATTGATAATAGAAAAAAATAAGAAAATGTGTTTATCTGAATTCACAGAGGCCCAGATACGATTTCTGAAAGCGAAACTACGAGTAATGCAGGAGGAATTGGATCGACTCGCTCATGAATACAACAAGAAGGTAAGATTTTAAATATGTAATTACACAATATCACAAACATTTACTGTTAGCTGTATAGATGTTATAATGTCATAATCAAATACTAATAATATCATTGTCATATATTGAGTGCACGATGAATAGGTAATTAGGGAGTAATAAGAATAAACAACATATGTTAAAATACAGGGGGAAGGGATGAAATACAAAGATCACTTCACAATACAATAAATATATGGCTGAAAGTCACAAGGCTGTTGAAGTTCATTCAAAGATTTATGAAATCAATTAATTAATCAGTTTAATAAATTAAATGAATAAAAATCTGGAAATTGAAAGCTTTCCTCAGTAATGGTTACCTTGAAATGATAGTAATTGTCACGAATAACCAACTGGTTCACTATTGTATTTTAGGGTCTTTTGTGTAGTAACCTTTTATGTTATTTTATCAGAAGTGCAATGGCAGCCTCAAGTGAATATATTCAGTGACTGACCTCCATGGTAAATGAAAAGAAAAAATTCTGTCCTTGGTTCTGACTTGTTCACTTCTTTCATCAGATGAGATCATAACACCCGTAGACACAAACTCCTGACAACACATTGAAGATACCCTTCATTGTGTTGCGTTACACAACCATTGTGTTATATGCTATAAATTTCTAACAGATCTAGTAATTCAAAATAAGGCATCCCTGAGGCGCAGTGAGCCTTCATCTGCAGAAGAATTGTATTCAGCCACAATCTGTAACTTATGGCTCAGCATATTCCCCGCTCTGCCATTACTTTTAAGATGGGGACCAACACAGATTTAATGAAGATTGCAGGCGGGCATGACAGGAGCAACATCAGGGAAACCTCAAGATGAAATGTCAACCTGATGAAGCTCCAACTTGACTGCCAGCATGCCAAACTGCAGAAGCAGAGTGTGATAAACAGAACTACGTGATCACACAACCAACAAATCAGATCTCAGGTCTGCAGTACTGCAACATCCAGTCATGGATGGTGATGAACAATTAAACAACTCACTGGAGAAGCAGACTCCAATGTATCCCTATGTTGAATGACGTGGGACCCAGCACATCAGTACAAAAGACAAAGCTGGGCAAACATCTTCAGCCAGACATGCTGAGTGGATGATCCATCATAGCTTCTTCCTGAAGTTTCCAACATCAGATGTCAGCCAATTTGATTCACCCCATGTGATATCAAGAAATGGCTGCAGGCACTGGATACTGTAAAGGCTGTGGGCCCTGACAATACAGTGTGCTCCGACTAGCTGTTCCCTAATCAAGCTGTTCCAGCTCTACAACACTGGCGTCTATCTAACAATGTGGAAAATTGTCCAGGTGTATCTTGTCCACAAAATGAAGAAGAAATCCAATCCAGCTAATTATTATACCATCAGTCCACTCGCAATCATTAGCAAAGTGATAGAAGGAATTGTTGATAGTGCTATTAAGCAGCACTTACTTAGCAATAAGCTGTTCACTGACACTCAGGTCCTGACCTCCGTTCAGTCTTGGTCCATATACAGACAAAAGAGCTGAACTCCAGAGGTGAGGTTACTGCCCTTGACATCAAGGCAGCATTTGACTAAGTATAGCATTAAGGAGCTCTGACAAAATTGAAGTCAATAGATATCAAGGAGAAAACTCAACACTGGCTGGATCTATGCCTTTCATAAAGGAAGATAGCTATGGTTATTGAAGAGCAATCATCTCAGACTAATGACATTGTTGCAGGTTTTCCTCAGGGTAGTGCCCAAGGCCCAAATCATATTTGCAGCTGCTTCGTCAATGTCCTTCCCTCCATCATAAGTTCAGTAGTTGTATAATATTCAGCACCATTCACAACTCCTCAAATTCTGAAACTGTTCATATTGAGGTCCAGCAAGGTCTGGACAAAATTCAGGCTTAGTTTTTCAAGTGGCAAACAACATTTGTGCTGCACAAGTGCCAAGTAATCACGATCTCAAATAAGAGAGAATCTGAACATCATCACTTGATATTCAATGGCATTGTTATTGCCCTACTATTCACATCCTAGGGACTATCATTGACCATAAGGGAGTGCTGTGTGGCATGAAGGTGAACTTCCAGGTGGTGGTGCTACCATGCATCTCCACTTACCTGGATATGTGCAACTCCAACACTCTAGAAGCTCACACCATCCAACACAAAGCAGCCTCTTTGATTGCCACCCCATCTACTAACTTAACATTCACCACCTCTCCATCATCAAATTACAATTTCAGCACTGCAGCAACACACCAAGGCTCCTGTGGCAGCACCTTCCAAATTACCAACCTCTACCATCTAGAAGGACAAGAGCAGCAGAAGTTCACCTCCAAGCCACACAGTACTCTTTTCCTAACATAAGTGACCTTACACTCTAAGGACTGCAGTGGTTCAAGAAAGCAGCTCACCAACACATTTTCAAGAGCAACTACGGCTAGGCAATACATTGCTGCTGTAGCCAGCAACACTCTTACCTGTGAAAGAATAAAATAAACCTATCCAAATTCTGCATTTAACAGCTTCTTTCATAAATTGAATTTCCTGAACATGCTTTACAAGTGTAGACACTTGTCAGTATTGGGAATTTGTACACAGATGGTCCCACAAATAGTGAAATTAATTCCCCAAATAATTTGATTTTTCAGTTTTGCTGGTTGAAGGATAAATATGAGCCAGGACAACAAGAGAACACACCAGTATTTCTTTGAATAACGTTGTGTGATCTTCTCTGTTCACAAAATGGCCGAATATTGCTCCTTTGCTAAGCTAGGACGCTTGTAGTATCAACCCATTACAGGTATTCCGAGAGGGTGTTTGGAAATCCTGAAGAGTAGGCAGATTGAATACCAAATGATGGTTGTGAGATTTTGAGTTGGTTTGGAGTTCTCAGAGCCAGAAGGAGAAGAAATTCCAATTCACACTTATGTATTTGGAAATTAACTGTCATATCTAATTTTAGTAAGATTACTTAGGTGAAAAATCAAATGTAGAGAGTCTCAAGAGACTTTTGTCACTGACTTGGAGCTCTTAATAAATCTGTCCTTAATAGCAAAAGATGCCTCTTATAGACTTCCTGTTGTCATTTAAAACTGTATATGCTTAACTTTTAATTTCATTTATAAATATTTTAAGTATATTTAATTTACAAATGTATTATAAATATATATATATATAGGTTATTTTATCTGAGATATTTGGATAGTTAGACACAATTGTGGCCAGTGATTGCTGAACCTATGGAATACTTACTATAAGTAGTGGTACTCAGTTAACTTAAAAAAAAAAGTATCCCTTCTTGGCTTATCCTCAGCCCCTTGATGACTACTATACTTTGCATTCATTGGAAAATAAACATTTAATTATCACAATGCTAAATGAAACGATATTTGCGCCGTATGTGATGCAGCTTTATTATTACCCACGTTTTCATCGGACTCAGGGTTAAAAATATGAAGTATAACGTCTCAGTTTGTGAAAACACCTGTGACAGCATGTAACTGATGTATATTTATTTTGAAATCCTCCTTACACACTCTGTCCTCATCAGAATTAAGCTCAGGTCATTAAAAGTGTTAGTACTAGTTAATAAATAGAAACGTTTGTAATCTTTGAATGTATAATACAATTAAAACGCATTGTCTTGGGTAAATGCCAGAGTAAGATTTATGCTGAAGGAAGTTGTCAATGGTAACTGTTCTATAATGTTACACCAAACTTATGAATAGTTTTGACAGATATCTTGTAAAATTTGCCTTTAAATGAATTCTGAAATCAAAGTCTAGCTGAGAGAACCATTTGATCTTAGGAGCACCAGTCATTGTAAACATATTGATATTAAAACATCTGTGGGTATGGAAAATATTACACATGTGGTAGATATTATCTGGACTAGGGATAATTCATTACACATTTGCCTGAACTGACTTTATTTTTAACAGGGTTAGTGTTTGTTTTATTGACCGGTTTCTCTTGCCCAAAATGCCTTTCCCTCCTTCTCCCCGAACTCACGCAATGTTTAACGCTCTGTCTTAGAGCTACCTCAGAAAACTGCAAACTCTAGTCAAAATATAAATAAGGAAGGAACTGAACATCCTATTTCTGTCTCATTACCTGCATCATTCATGACTTGCCCACATTATTTATCATCACGAAATCAACATTCTCAATTGGACTCAGTTATTATGACTCATGCATTTTTAAAGAAAAATCCTACAATGTACGGTCTGTTTTCTGGTTCTTATAAGAATTAGGTATGCTCAACTTATTTTTGATATTTAGCAATATTTCTCCAGTCATTTTTGTGTGCAACAATTTTACTTTGGCCATTTACTAGACTTGGAAAAAGTTAGAGATAAATGCTGCTGAATGGATTTTGTCGTCAGCTCATGAACTCAACAGAGATATTCCAGAAGCAACTTTGAGTTGATGGTACAGGAAGGAAGAAAAAAGATGTACTGTAGACTGGAGAGAGTCTATACCAGGATGAGTAAAAGCAGTGCATAAGCATTCTATCACCAGAAGATAGAAAAGTGTTAAACATTTAGAGAAAGGTACTGTAAACTATAGTTGTAGTTCTTTTTAAATGATATTTGGTCTCAGCAACTAGATGCTGACTACAAATATTCCACGGATAGGAATACAATTTACCTAGAAGCATGTAAACTCATTTGGGAAGTATTATAAAGGAAGTTAATGAGATTCTAGGTTCAGGCAGTATCAATGGTTGGAAACAGGGGGATGCTATCATTGTGCTTTGCTAAGAGACAAAAGACAGAATCTTCCTAGCCACTGAACAATGTGGGTATTGGTGAGAAAAGTTGGGAGAATCACAGCATCGCAGGTGCCAATTTCCCTCTGTCCAACGTGTTTAGAGCAATTTGCAGGAATTCTGCAATGCAGCTATGGATTGTCAGCAGTTGAGTGGATACACAACTAGTACCTTTGCTAAGAATCCTGGGAGATCTTGGCAGTGGCCAGTAATTCCACTTATGGCAAATGGGGTAATATGATGAGCAGGTTACCATAGGGCCCGGTATATTGGTAGTGAGGTGAGTTTGGGAGAATAGCATGAGAAAACCCACTAGGTCTTGCAGAGAGAAACTCACCAAATTAACACTTAGCCAATTTCTGGTAAAGTTCAATGGAACGTCTTCAATGTTTTCTTACTTTTTCCAACAATATCAAATACTTTTTTTTTATATATTAATTTATAGAATGTGGGTGTTGCCACATTTATTCAATTCTAAACGTCAGTCTCAATAGCTACTTATTGCCTAACATCCATGCCCTAATGGCTGTGAATTTATCTTCTACGTTCTTCCAGTGATTTTCCTTTAAGTTTACTGTTCACCAATTTTATTCTTTGTTTATTCAGTAGTCAAAATTTTCATTAACCTGATTTTTTTTTCAGCTTTCCCTTCATAAATATGATCTTTCTTTATATGATTTAAATGAACCTTCTCTATGTGCTTTCCACTACTTTAATGCTTACCTTTAGTAGGGTGCTGAAAACTACATGTAATAATCCAATTTGCAGTATTTCTTCAGTCTTTCAAATATGCTGGATAAATTGAATATCTGTTTCTTGTTTTTGCCCCAGTACTTTTTGTAATAGTCTGTTCTACCTGAACTACTTATACCTTGCACCTGCAAATCAGATTTGCTTTTATATTTTAAGAATTGTAACATTTCACACATCCTTCTACCCTGTTTTTCTTAGGTTACAACATATTGCTTTTCTGCATTAAACTGCACCTGAGCTGTCTGATGACTTTTAAAACCCATCCATGTCCTGCTTTAACATCCCACATTCTTTTCCACTGTTCAATGTACCCCAACTTGATATTGCTAGTAAATGTCCACCTCATTCCTGTTGCCCCTATTCCAAATTATCTTTATAAATGGAAAATGACTGGTCATTTATCAGGTATCATAAACTTATTTATACTACTCTTTGCTTTCTGTTCCTTAGCCATTTCCTTACTCATGTAACTAGATTTAGTTTAATTTCATGCCTTAATTGCTTTTACAAGTGTTTTTTATATGGTACACGTAGAATCATAGAATCCCTATAGTGCAGAAGCAGGCCATTCAACCCATTGAGTCTGCACTGACCCTCCAAAGAGCATCCCACCCAAACCCACCTACACCCCCAAATCTTATTCCCTGTAATCCTCAATTTCCCATGACTAATGTATCAAACCTACACATCCCTGGAGACTCTGGGCAATTTAGCATGGCTAGTCCACCTAAACTGTGCATCTTTCTACTAGGGGAGAAAACCAGATCACCCAGTGGAAACCCACGCAAATGCGGGGAGAATGTGCAAACTCCACATAGACAGTCGCCTGAGGGTGGAATCAAACTCGAGTCCCTAGCGCTGAGGCAACAGTGCTAACCACTGAGCCACCTTACCACCCATATGAGACACATCTTTTGAAATTCTACTGCATTCCCTTTAACTTCTCTTAATTTGAAATGTTTAATTGGTGATGATTTTCTGTTCATTTTGTATTACTAATCTTAATGTTGGCTGCTGAAACTGAGTGACCATTTCAATTGAAAGATTTTAATTTCAGTAAAAACCTACTTGCAAGATTATTTTTCATAACTTCTCATTGTTCATTAAATAAAAGGACGATGAAAATAATTCCTTGACCAATCGATTAAAAGAGATAGAGGAGGAACGTAACAAGTTACAGAAAACAACCAGCATCCAGCAGACACAAATTGATAAATACAAGACCCTGGCAGATGAGGCACGCAGGAAAAGTGATGGATTGCAACAACAAGTGACTTCTTTGCAAAAGGTATAATTTATAGTGTAATGATCTGTGTAATTCTTAATTAACTGCCACTAATGAATATCACTTAATCATTACCAACTATAGCTGAAAAGTGCAGGCAGGTGACCTGTTTTCAGGCCTCTATCAAATTGTTCTAAACTGGTCATGAGTAATCATCTCTCTCAAGGTCGTGTGCAAATGCTTGGTTGTCACTTGCATTCTACATTTGCTGCAAGTATAACTGCAAGGCTGTACTCACTGCTCATGCAGTCATAGAAATGTGTTGGTAACTGCTTGTATCAAAGAATAGGATTAATATAGCAATTCAAAGGATTTTTCAAATGTTTTTTAAATCAATTCAACTAAAATTATGGAATCACAATATTCACAATGGCCCACTTCCAACATTTGTTAGCTTGGCTTCTGACCCCTCACTGCCCTGTTTCATTGCTGTTTACTGATCCCTATGCATGGTGGCAACTAGAATGGGCACTAGAACACTGAACAGAAAAGTGATCAGTGCAGCAAGTAGAGCACTTAGCAGGCTGGCAATGGGAGCAGGCAACAGAGTGCTGAACAGAGCTGGGACTAGAGTATGGCAACAAGCAGAATACCAAATGCAAAGGGTAGTGTGAGCATTTCTTGGGTGTATGACCATCAGTGATATCACACATGTGTCATAGGGAGCTGGCACCAACTTCCAGTTCCAGGTGCACAGAAGTGTCCTCAAAAGCATAGACTTCCTGCTGTAGTGTGGTGGTAGGAGATACACAAAAATTGAAATGATTTATTAACTATATTTGTAATGTTTCTTCTGTCTTTCAAATTGTTTATTTTCTAAAGTTTCCTGGTTGCTTTTCTGAGATTCTTAGTCTGTTTCTCGTAAGATTTTCCAACTGCCAGTCATTTATTTGAACACAAATGCACCTTTTTATACTGCAGTAAAAAGTTACCAAAATGTTTCAGGATTTTAGATACTTGGATATTTGTATATTTAGTCTTCAGAAAGGAGTTGTCAGTTAAATGTATACTGAGCCAATCATAAAATTTGTACATTTGAAAATTATGTTACCAGGGACACGGTTGTAATAGTTTTTCATTTCAGTACTTCCTTTCCCATGACTTTCTATCATGGAAAGAATTCTTCAGCTGCACAGTAAATGGTAGAAATCTATGGTTACAATTACAAGCTTCACAACTAAGTATTGGGAGAATATCTGCTATTAGATTCTGCTTCAGCTGACTGTTAAACCCCGCAAATATAATAAACAAATTCTGAAGAGTTACAAAATCAAAATCAAGGCAATGATAAATATATTGCATTACATTGATGTTTAATGGGAACAAAATGCTATAGAAATAAATGATCCATGTACAGAATAATTCAAAAATAAACACAAAATTCTACAGCAAGATGCTCTGAAATTTTAATTGGTTGTCAGTTGAACTCTTCAAACAATCAGAAATATATGGTTTGTGCATGGCATAGTAATAGATAGATCTGTAAATATCATGGTCGATGCATAGCTCAAATTTTCAAATTGAAAACATAACTTGAGAATATGTTTGTAAAGTCACAGTGACAAATTAGTTTTTATGCTGAAGGAAAAATTGTCAGATTATAAATACTAAATATTTTAATACTTCGTGTTACATTTTTCTCAAATTAAAGTGTACAAATGTGTTTATTACATTATTATCACTAGGTCTTCCAGATTTGCAAAATATTTAAAGGCAAACCTGTTAACAAGTTACTACGAACACAAGATCTTAGTAAAAAATACTCATAAATATGTAGAGAAACTGCTGATTTTTCTTTAAGAATACTGCTTCTGAATTGCATCATTACTTACACAGAAATAGTTTTTCTTGGTACAAATAGGACAGGTAGAGTTTTATTTTCTAGGATTCAGTCAAAAATTACTTGATCAATCATCTCTGAACACCCTTTCCAAAATGCTTTCAACAGAAAATGTGCATTCCATCTCCAACTCACAATGAACAAGACCACTGCTAATGTATTGAAAAGAATAGCAAATGTCTTAAATAAGTAAGATATTTGATTCAAAAATTGGGTGCTGTTTGTTACTCCGATAAGGTGTACTTCATAAGTATAATTGCTTTTATATTAAGTATTATATTAATACTTTCAATATAGCTTGGTAGAAATGTACATGCTTTGATATGCAAAGATAAAATGGTTATGCAAATATGATGACTCTACTGTAGATGTCTACTCCCTGATGTATGAATCTGGAGAGATCAGGTATTTTAAAATTGGGACCTTGGGGCTTGTATATGTTCCATTAAAGTAGAATTGTACATTTAATTTAATGTTTGAAAAATTTAATCAAATTTTTGTCATTGGAGAGCAGTTTTCTGTGGGAATGGTTTCAAGGTATGAACCCAGGTAGGTCATTAACTAAGTTGTTTCATGAAGCAGTTGTCTTCACAATAAGCTTCAATTATGTGTTATTATTGTTTCATGTTAGAAGTGAAAATATTTCCAGCTTTAACGTTATCTTAATGTGAGGTGTGTGCATATGTGATTTAGGATCATCTTTTCCTCCTTTCTTTCTTGAAGGAGACTATCACAGCTGAGTTAAAATCTTTAGAAGGATGTGTGTCAGGCAGGTTTGCCCAGTTCTTCATTTATAAACCCATGTTGTTTGACCATGGGGGGCACTACAATTGACCCTGATCCTGTTCTTAACCAATGTGAACATTTAATTCTCTTAGTTGTACAGCATAGAAACAGGCCCTTCAGCCCACCAAATACCAATTGGCACTGTCGCATTTACATGTACTTAGTACATTCATTAGCATTCGGAACAGAAATCCCAACAGATTTCTCAATTTCTTGTCCAGGTGCACTGGGACAACGATGGCTTTTCATCAGTTGCTCAGCAGAGATCAGCTAACTAAGTATGAATTCAGAATCAAAACTGAGATTTTCATTTGCTCAAGGTTTGGTATTCTGCACCAAATGGTTCCCCTTTTTACAAAACTATTGGGATTCAAATATTTTATAGTCAAGGACATTTCTTTAATCTAGTAAAATAAATGCCCAAAACTATAAAAAAATGTTTATGACAAGTCATAATATGAAGTTACTAAATGATATTTCAACAGTCGCGTATAAAAGTCATCAAATCAGGGATTACATTTTGCTGCCATCCGATGGCTAGCAAGGTAATTGTTCACTATCTATTTATTTTTTCCTGTGCTTTTAAACCAGATTTCAGTACAGTCAGCACTGCAAATCATACTTATAACAATTGGAAATATTTTATTAATTTCCAATTTGAAACAGTAATCAAACATTTATCAAATTATGAAAATGTATTCTTGGGAAGTGGATGTCACTGGCAAGGCTGTCATATTGCCTCTCCCAAAGTACCTCAAAGGTTGATGATAGGCTGTTATCTTCAATACTAGATTAGATATGAAGTGGTTTGCTACTTAAGGGCAGTTAAAATTAACCCGTGTCCATGTGGGATTAATGTTTAAATATTAGGCCGAACAATGTAAGGATGGCAGATTTCTTCCCTTAAGATAATGAGCGTACCAGTTCTTTATTAAAACTAAAATCCAAAATCTTAATGGTCACTTTTATTGTCACTATTAAACAGAATACAAAGAGTTGTACTTGAATATGATCTGGGATTGTCTAGATTACTAATCATTTAACATAAGCCCTGTACATGAACGTATGTATAAAAATTGATGTAAATTTACATTTGTACAAGTGCAGATTCTTTTAAAAAAACTATGTGAAAGAAACAATATGATAAAGCAGTGTCATTCAGAATCAAAGATTCAATAACTAATAATTGTTGAAATTTTGTAACTGCAAACTCAGTAGATAATAATCAAAGCCTATATAGCTATAAGTTATTAAACTTATTTGCAGTTGAGTATTAACAGGTGAAATTCTTAATTTTGAGCACAATGTATTACTTTATTGAAGAGATTGGGAGATGAGTCATATACCTTTAAATAAAGGTGACCATCTATTGCTCAAGGAGAGGGGAGCTATCAAATTTGCAACTAAATTGCTATTAGTTAAAGCTCTGTAATGAACTACTTAATAAACAAAATGAGAAAATTAATTTAGAAAATGCATGTCATAATTTCTAAATTATCTTGTTATACATTGTTCAGAACAATGTAACTTTGGTTAATTTATATTTTATGTGTTTGCGTAGGAGGGGAATTTCATTTTAAAGTTGTTCTTGTGGGTTTGATACAGAGAAGCCTAGAGAAGGTTTGTTTACATGCATTTTAATGAGGCTTTACCACCCTTGAGATGAATAGATGAGGGTTAGTAGTTTAATGCAAAAAAGTACAGAAATAAAACTGCTGTTGCTTAGCAACAAGGGTTCATGGTCTCTCAGAGAGTTAGAAAAATCTAAAAGAGATTTGGTGTGTGTATTCAAAAAAGTGAAGACAGAAATGTTGACGTCTGTAGTAAGAAATCTGATAAAACTGCTAGAGTCATAGAATAATACAACATAGAAACACACCCTTCAGCCCACCATATTTATTCTAACGAATAAAACCAAACTAAACTAATCCCATCTATGTGCATTTGGTCCTTAGCTTTCTATACCCCAGCATTTTAAAAGCTTATCTAGATGTTTCTTAACTGTTGTGAGAGTACCTGCCTCCAGCACCCTCTTAGACAGCAAGTTCCAAGGTTCTACTGCCCTCTGAGTAGAACATTTTTTCCTTTTGCTATTAATATATTCAGAAAATGCCTTGGGGTTTTCCTTAATCCTATATGCCAAAGATATTTTGTGGCCCCTTTTAGCCCTCCTAATTTCCTTTTTAAACATCTCCCTACACTCTCTATGCTCATGAAGGGCCTCCCCTGTTTTTACTGGTGTGTACCTAACACATGCTTCCTTTTTTTAATCAAACTTTCGATATCCCTGACATCCAGGGTTCCGTGGACTTGCTGCCCTTGCCCTTACAGGAACATGCTGGCCCTGAACTCTCACTATGCTATGTTTGAAAGACTCCCACTTTCCAAATGTTGACTTACCTGCAAATATCTTCTCCTAGGCTTGCTCAACAATGGAAGAAAAAGAATCTGGTAAACACACCAGTGTCCTTTTTCATAGAATCCCTACAGTATGGAAGCAAGCCATTCAGCCCATAAAGTCCACACTGCCCCTTCGAAGAGCATTCCACCCCTACCCTATCCCTGTAACCCTGAATTTCCCATGGCTAATCCACCTCGCCTGCACATCCCTGGACACTATGGGCAATTTAACACAGCCAATCCACCTAACCTGCACATTTTTGGACTGTGGGAGGAAATCGGAGCATCCAGAAAAAACCCACATAGACATGGGGAAAATGTGCAAACTCCACACAGACAGTTGCCCAAGGCTGGAATTGAACCTGGTTCCCTGGCACTGTGAGGCAGCAGTGCTAGCTAGTGAGCTACTGTGCTAGCTCAAGCAGTATTTTATTTGTAAGGATATTGTTGGGATGAAAGGAATGGTGAGTATTTGAATCCTTTTTTTGTAATGAAACTTTTCCAACATTTTCATCTAGTGTAATAAAGTTCATGTTTTTCTTATCTAATAAACCTTTCATTTTTTGCAGACTGCAGTGCAGAGGGAATTTGGAGTGCTAGAATCCATAAACATCACAAAAAGCTAGCAAGCATATTCAGCAAGTAATAGGGAGGCATATGGACTGTTGGCCTCTATTTCAAAGGAATGGAGTATAAAAATATGGAGGTCTTCCTAAAACTATGCAAGGCATCAGTCAGACCACTCCTGGAATACTGGTCCCCTTACCTAAGGAAAGATATGCTGGCATTGTTGGCTGTCCAGAGAAGGTTCACTAGGTCGCTCCTTCATATGGAGGGTTTTCTTATGAGGAGAGGTCGTGTAGGTTGGAGTTGTCCTTATTGAAGTTTAGAAGAACAAAGGAAGACCTTATTGAAACATGTAAGATTCTTAAGGGGCTTCACAAGGTAGTCGCAGCGAGGTTGTTTCCCATTGTCAGAGCCTTGGACCAGAAGACACAATGTCAGTATAAGGAGTTGCCCAATTAGGACAGAGATGTAGAGGAATTTCTACTCTGACAGCATTCTTCACCGCAGAGGGCTGTTGAGGCTGTGTTGTTAAGTATATTCAAGGCTGAGAGAGCCAGATCTTTAATAAGAAAGGGAATCAAGAGTTATGCTGATAGGGCAGGAAAGTGGAGTGAGGATTTATCAGATCAGCCATGATCTAATTAAACAGCAGAGCAGACACTATCAGGCTGAATACTACTCTGTTTCTACATCTTTGGTCTTGTGGATTCTTGTGAATGTGTACAGTACTAACTATGAAGGTTGGTTAAAAAAAACAAAATTAGGATCTATCAAGCCAGCTTCAATTTGGGATCTGAATCGTCCAATATTAACATCAGTTGGGATCATCATAACATTAATACACATAATGTATTATTCCAATCTGTATTGCTTTTAATTCCATCTCTTCAGACTGTTCGGTGTAAGGCATTTCAGGGTCTGCAAATATTAAATTCAGCTAGCTAAGCAGGCATTCATTGAAATTATTCAATCTTATTCAGCATACTGACATAAATGAGCCCTTGACCTTTGTGAATAAGACTAATTATGCTGGTGAACAAATACAAATGACTACATCAATGAAATGAAACGGTTAGATGTCTACATTATTACAAAAAGCAACAAGACATTGACTAGGTTTACCTCTTAACAGGGGATCTTCAAAAACAAGGCCAATCTCTGAAAACAAGTAGAGAAACATTTAAGAAAGTAGATAATTAACATCATGTAATATTGCAATAAAACAAGTTTTGAGTAGCAACACAGACACAGAATACCATGACATAGTGACTCACTGGCTAGCACTGCTGCCTCACAGCGCCAGGGACCCAACTTCAATTCCAGCCTCAGGCGACTGTCTGTGTGGAGTTTGCACATTCTCCCTATGTCTGTGCAGGTATCCTCCGGGTGCTCCAGTTTCCCCTCACAATCCAAAGATGTGCAAGTTGGGTGGATTGGCCATGCTAAATTGCCCATAGTATTCAGGGATGTTCAGGCTGGGTGGGTTAGCCATGAGAAATGCAGAGTTACAGAGATACAGTAAGAGGATGGGTCTGGGTGGGATGCTCTTCAGAGGATTGGTGTAAACAGTTGGGCTGAATGGCCTGTTTCCACACTGTAGAGATTCTATGAAATGTACTGGGAATACAAATAGGATGGGAATCCAGCAGCAGTAAGAAGAAACAAAAGTAAAAAGGACAGAGGACGAAAAGGCAGCAACTAATTGATGTAGTAGGTATTTTTCTAATATAGTTCACTGAAAGATGCATTTTGTAGCCCTGGTAGCACCACAGTCATCAGGAAAAAAATGTGTAAGGTAGAAGGGAGAGATGGAACAAAAGGGAGAAAAAGGCAGTCAAAAAGGGGCAAAGAAGGCAAATGCAGCAAAATTACAACTAAGCTGGTAGATATACGATATTGTCTAACACTAAATGAAATCCTGTAGAAACTTAAGTAAAAACGATATGGTATTGTTTATTGTGCGTTTAATAGTTCTTAGGTGATGTCTACTGAAGACAAATAGAGATTGTGTTTGCTTGTATGGAGAAGCAAATTAAAATTATTTGACATTTCCATTAGGAATTTATAAGGATGTTAATGCAGATCATGTTTTTCAGACAAAAAATTGCAGGGGTGTGTGTTATTTGGACCTAACTTCAAAGGCTGTAAAATGCAATACAATTCAAATAGATGTTTGGATATGCAGTAAGAAGAGAAATATACATTTTGTTGAACACATTTCACAACTTCCAAAATATTTCACAGCCAATACAAGATATTCTTCCTTAAATAAGGCAGATAAAGTAAGAATGCCAGTAGTAAGTACAGCCTCATGGAATTGTGTTGTAGCATTTTCACAATATTAAAATGTCTTAATTAGATGAAGCCACTGACAACTTGTGTAATTCAACGTTTTGGCAAAGGTCTGTAGCTCGGGTTGTGGATGAGGTTGTCGACTTGCTCGCCAAGCTGGGCTTGTTCTCATTCAGACTTTTCATTACCATGCCAGGTGATATCATCAGTGGAGCCTTCGATGAAGCGATGTTATTCTACTTCATTTGGAATTTATACAGTTTGGTCCGTTATGGTGAGTAGTGTCACTTCCGGTTTTGATCTGTACGGGTTTGTATGTGGGGTCCAATTCTATGTGTTTGTTGATTGCATTATGGGTGGAGAACTTGCCTCTAGGAATTCCTAGAGGGCTTGGGCCAAACTCAATTAAATGCAACAAACCAATACAGATCAAAACCGGAAGTGACACTACTCACCATAACGGACCAAACAGTATAAATTCCAAGCGGAGTAGAATAACACCGCTTCATCGGAGGCTCCACTGATGATGTCACTAACACGGTGATGAAATGTCTGAATGAGAACAAGCCCAGCTCGGCGAGCAAGTCAACAACCTCAACTTGTGTAATTGGCATACTTAGTATTTTAATATGATAATGCCACTATTAAATCCACATTAATCAGTGCATTTGGGCAGTAAATTGCCAAAACCAGTGTTTCTACCATGACACCCTTCTCTGCTTGCTATTTATTTAGCAAATGTAAATCTCTGAAACCAAGCGAATAGTCACCTCATTTGCTGAGTTTGAGGTTAGTCCACTACTTGGTCTGTAGAGGGGACATTTCTCATTAATGCACAACTTTGTTTGCGTCTCCCACAACTGCATAAGGAGTTTTTTTGTATTGAAGCTATGGCAGTGGACTTTGGCTCCATGGGGTCTTGTCTTGTTCTGAACTCATATAGCAAGACCTACTCTGGCCAAAGTAGTTCGAAGCACGCCATTCTAATGATAGGATTTGTAACAAGGAAACTATTGATTACTTTCCATGTTACCATTCCTTGAACAAAAGGATACCTGCTGTAGATCTTGCTCAGGAACATTGCGCTCTGTGGGACATCAAGATGGAAATTGGGGGTGGGGTAGTAGGTGAATGAAACAGGTCATCATGGAGTAATTGAGGTGGAATACAAATGGTTTCAGTTTGTGGGTTTTTGTGGCTTTTTATCAGTCAGCAGATGTGTGGGGGTGATGTTTGCAAAGACTGAAAGCCAGACAAGTGGTGTTGAGCAGAGTTTCAGTCATGATGCACATTGTTGCATTTAATTGAGTGTCAACAAAATGTGTACGAGATGGCCTATGCCTGACAGAGGTGCAGTACTTTGCTGCGGACTATGATAGGGCAAGCGCTGACGTCTGGAGTGCTGTGACAACAGTGCCCCACCAAGTAAGTTCAGCTAATACATTGTTTCTAGTTTTGACCTTAGGACTTCTTGTTTTCTTCAAGAACAATCTAGAGTCACTCCTAATTTGTTGGGTTTGGATCATGCTTTAATCTCTGACTGTACACATAGACATGCAGCTTCTTTTTTGGGCTGGCATTGTGGAGCTGGAACACACTGCATATGGTTTTAGATACCATATGCTGCAGTTGACTGTAAACTTAGCTAAGGATCTGGTCCATTGGTACAGAAAGATGGTGCTTAGATGACATAATAGATGTCACCAACATTTTGTGAGATATAGTGTTCACAGATTATTTTTATACATGTTGAACAGTATTGGGGTTAGCACTGAACCCTGTGGTAATCCACAAGCCAGTCTTCTCCATGCAGTTCTTCTCCTTTGTCTAATGTAGACTGTAAATTGTCTGCTGTGAAGGTCCTGACCCAGCTGAAGTGCTCTAGACAGATTTAGGAGCAGGCCAGCATGCCACATTGTATCATAGGCTGCTATTGTTTAGGAAGAATGAGATACCAGTTAGGACCTGTGATATTTTTAGAGAAATTTTAATGTTTAGAACATGAGCAGCGGGTGTAATTTTCGGAGGCTCAGACAAATTATGTATGTTCATGTATTTTAAAGTCCGACTTAAAATATATAATGATTATTCCTCCACACACAATTGTTATCTTAGGAATTGGACAACCAGAAAAGAACTCAGAAGCAAGCTGCTACAAACCATAGTGCCACAGAGGTTCGTCTAAACAGGGCATTAGAAGAGGCTGAAAAATTCAAGACAGAGCTGAATAAATTGAAGCAGAATAACAAGGTAATATTACAAATACAATGCTGCTGGTGAGGAGTATATCATAAGTCGGTGCAAGCTGGGGAGCTATTGCGACATTGTTGTAGCTTTATTTCCATCCAAACTTCCTTTGTCTGCAGCTCAACACTGGGAGCGAGGCATTAATGAATATTATTGTATTATGAAATTTACTTCTACAGTTAGCAGTGGGCATTTTGGCAAAAGAGAACTCAAACATTTCAAAAATGTTCCTCTTTTGAGGGTTTTAAGAAATTAACGGCAAATTATTACCTGGCTTGAAATTTAGTTTGATAGTTGGAAACCCAAAGTAATAGTTGTACAGAGTTCTGCACATTGTTACTGTTTGCATACCATCGTAGTGACATTGCAATGGTAAGGCTCAACAGAGATTATATTTGGTACTTACTAACTAGTTTATTGGCATTTCAAATCTTGTGGTCCGAGTTACAGAAATATTCTCCTGCAGGGTACCATTGTCATGATTAACTGAGTAAGGAGAAGCTAGAGGCATGCTCTGTTCTTCTGTCCTCCTCCAGTGGATGCTCCTGGCCACTGGGTTCCTTCTCTGTCCAGGTTCCTGTGCTGTGTGGGCTCCTGGTCCCCATCTGTTCCTGCTGTCTTTGGGCTCCTGCTTCACAGGTGCTTCTGTTCAGTCCAGGCTTTTATCATGCTGTGCTTCCTCAGCATCATTCATCCTATGCAGGGGTCATAACTGGATACAACTCCATTTAAATGTGAACTATACTTACTTGTCCATCAAAATTCACCAATTGCGTATAGTGTGTATCGGCTGAGTGCTTTATACCTTAATCTGTGAAGAATCAATCTTTACGCTTCTGACTTGGTATAATCGGGAAAATCACATCCAGTAGGTAGGATAGCTTTTTCAAACCAGCAAATAGAAGGGAGCTAATAATAGTTTTTAAAAAAGCTTAAAAAGACCACATGTTAAATCAATGCTGCTTGTAATAATAAATTACATGTTTTTTCTTTCTTTGTCTCATTGGTCAAGTTTTATCTCATATCCTTACACATTAACAACTTGTTTATTTTCTTCTCATATATCTGTGCTCATTACCTGCTACGTATACTTGTCAGATGTTAGAATATTTTAAAGAAAGACTGATATCAAGACACAGCATCCATTCTGAGTGTCCAGAAGAAAGGCTTTGACTTGGATATGTTATCTGCAGTCAGGCTCCCCAAGCTGTTGTAGGTTTTGAGACTGCTATCTCTCTGAAAATTGTGTTTGTCAGAGGATGGCCAAAACATTACTTATTGTATTGCCTATTATTTGTCTTATATGTACTAGGACACAACTAACCAAGAGAAACTAACAATTGAACAACTGAAGACCGAAAACAAGAAGTTAGAAAAGCAGAAAACTGAGCTCATGACTGGCTTTAAGAAGCAGATGAAGTTAATAGATATCCTTAAAAGGCAAAAGGTAGGATGTGACAAAATGAGAAATGATCAGTCATGGTATTTTTGAGATCAGGGATTGTTATTTAATTGGCACCCAAAATAATTTGGTGATTGAAAGGTAATATATAAATGCAAAGATTACAAACTTGCCCTTGCTTTTTTTTTAGATGCATATGGAAGCTGCTAAAATGCTCTCCTTCACTGAAGAGGAATTTATTAAAGCATTGGAATGGGGAAACTGACAGTTGTAACACATCTCAATGTCGCAAAACACAATTGTTGTTGCTATTACATTTGATCTTTTTCTCATTAAGTTCAGTATTTACATCCATCCTACTAAAACATTTTGTAAACTGGTAGCAAAAGAATAAAGATATAATTGTTATCTTTAATTATTATTATTATTATTTAATTGTTATCTCTTGTTAATTCATTGCACCAGGAGGATAGTTATTGCTTTTATTCTTATAATCTTGTTTTCTCCTTTCCATTTAAGTCACAGACCACAAAGATCCTACATATATTTTCATAATTAGTTTCGAGCATATCCTACATCTTGAAGCTTGAAAAATCAATTGTGTAGCAGAATTTTTAAAATATAAATAGATTACTTTTGATGATTTGTTTTAGTTTTCATTAGTGGTCATTCCCCAGAGACAAACAGTGGCTTTCATTTCTCCACATGTAATCTAAAAGCTGATCTTGAAACAGTTTTCCTGAATTCAAAGCATCTGTAAACAGCAACTGCCAAATAGGGTCAGTGGCAAAATAATATAGAAAATTTGAATAGAATATCAAATACCAAGATACATCAGTATAATCTTCATCACCTTCACTATAAAGACACGAACATTTAAAGGACAGATCTGTGAAAATTGACCCAGTGATTAAGTGATGTTCATTCCATTTTATCGAATGAACAATTATATCTAGGATTTCAGTATAACTAGTATTTGATTGTGTGTCCAATCCCTCTAATATGTTCTTATTATACATCCTGACATTGTTATTCTTAAGAGAGAGACTAAACTGGCCATTTGAAATGACTTAAAGTTTGTCATATCTGTCTCAGGTGAAACTGGCCCTAATCTGTTTTGAATATAAGAATTGTCCCATGGTCAATATTAATTGTTTTTTTTTTTAAATTTCACCTATTTTTCTAATCAACCTGTTCAGAGACATTATTACACACCTCTGGACCAAGTGGGACTTGAATCTGAGCCTCCTGGTCCAGGGGTAGGGAGACTACCACTGCACCACAACAGTCTTTCAATATTAGTTGATATACTCTCAGCCAATTATTAGTTCACAACAGAACCTCAAGTTTAACTTTGAATTCTGCTTGATGAGACTATACTTCTCACCATTACCTTGCAGAAAAACCCTGAAAAGGACAGGTCAACCAGAAATCTCTTCCTGAACCCATCCTTGGCTTACTTCAACAACTTTGACTATTACAGCATATTTGAAAGAGAGCTGGATGAATGGTCTACGTCACTGTTTTCAGAAACATCTATTGTTATGTTCTACAGTCCATGCTGAAGGTGACTTTGAAGAACAGTTGAGATTTAGGAAGTCTGTTTTTCTAGAACTAGAACCAATTTGAATATCATTACCTTCTATCGTTGAGAATGATTTAAAGGCAAATACATAGGTGAAGTAAGAGAGAAACTCATTCATGTTAGAATTCCCTTCACTTGCACATAACAGGTTTGGCTTTGGACTTGTTACTCCAGAGCACCACGATGTTTTCTACAAAGGAGTTAAATTCCTAGAATAACTAGTCCATAAACACTTTATGAATAACTCTTCTGTCAGATTTTCAGGCAGACCTTTATGTACAAACTGCTGACTGAAGGGCAGAGAGAAAGAAACACATTGGACAACTTTAATATAAAAAAATCAAATTGCTATCTGGCATCACAATGCAAAGGAACACTGTTCCTAAGTAGGTCAAGCATGAGTAAATCATGATCATAGTATTCAGGGCACCAGAAGCACTCTTGAAACAGCTTGAGTTTTGTACATATTTAGCACATTTATGCACAGGTTCACACAACTCTAACTAGATAACTCCCTAGGCACATGATGGTTCTGTATTATCAGCACCATACAGTAATTCTCATAAATTCACTGATCACTTCAGGGAGGACCTCTCTAGGCAGCTTGCTTTATTGCCCTTCTTTCAAACTTGTAATGCTTTCATGAAATGTGTGGAAGATGCTTAATACTGATCATCTACTTTAAGCAGCTTCTATCATTCCTTGAACGATATGGATGTGCCACAATCACGATCCATCTCCCATCCACACAGGTCTTGTAGATCCATTGGAATTTGAGAGTTAAAATTCCTCATTTCTTCTGCTTAAAGTTAACTTTAACAGTTTAACATATATTGGTCTGTATGTGATGTGGGCCACAAGGCCATTCTTTAACCTCAACATTTCTATGCTTGCTACACATGTGAAACTAACTAAACAACATCGAAGATATTGAAAAGATGTAAATCATCGAAAGAAGGAGGCCCACATGGGAGGTAATGTATTATCTACCCTAACTATTCCACGACCCTCCATTAATTATTCCTTCATTGTCTATTTCTTAAATTTATTTCACTACGGTAAGTTTGCAAATGCTACCAATTCACCAATGAAAACAGAAGCATTAATACAGGACATGAAGTACTATAGAAGACTGTTAAATTGAAAGACTCAAATTTTATGAAAATCCGTAGATTTCAGAAATTGCTGATCTGATGACCAAGTTTAGCAAAATTCACTAATCTATATTCCATTAGTCTTCATAATAGATTTTCTCCATAGAGATGAACAATTTCACAGCAGTTCCAACTTATTTATTTATATAATTTCATTAACAATCATTCCAGTTATATTTTTGACAATTATAAATAGAGATCAATATAAATTTATGACTCAAAAGTAACTGTACTGGCTAGCACAGTGATGTTCTGGACAAAGCTTGACATGACGTATACCCATAAGTCTAACAATCCCAGCCTTCGTCTGATGATAAATTAGCACTTCCTTTCTTGAAATTTTCTCTGAAGGTTTCATCAAATAATTCGAGCTCTTGTTCATCTCTAAATACCCCCTTTTAAAAGATACATATGATATAGTAATTAGCTTCACCAGCAAAACAAAATTCAATCATAACCATTGCTACGTTCATGCCATAAACTGAGAATATCTAAAAAGAAGTAAAGTCAGTGTAAATAATTTAGTGTTTTGGTCAGTGAGTTTTTAAACTTAACTCATGTCCTTGTACAGCCTACATTTCAGGGGGCCACAGTCTTATATTTAGTTAATTCTTAAATTCAGAAACTTTAAGTTTAACCATAGCAGTCATCAACTAAACACAAAACATCAGGACCTCCAATATAAAATGAAAATGTGTGCTTCATTTGCTGAAAACTGTAGTAAACATGAGCATTTTGTCCTTTGTTTTAAAATATGCTTAAAAATTAATTGGAACAATTGGCAGTTAATTTCTCAAATTTAATTTTGGGCCAATTGCACATCATGGCATAACTCCCGACAAAGCACTTCTCTAATTGTATCTTTCTCATTTCACCTTGGCCAAAGCTTTCAAATCAGGCATTCTGCCCACCTATAGCACTGAAAGTCACCATCAATACACTTGATTTTGACTGTTGCACACTGCTATCCTCTTGCAACTTTCCACTGTGTTTGATAGTTAACTATTCCAACTTCTTCAAACGACCTTCACAGTCCAGCCCCACATCATGGTAGTTCTGCTTCTACCTGTTTCTTGAAATAGTTCATATTTCCCTTCCCAGAGTCAGCTTCTAATGCACTTAAATACCTTCACAGGTTTAAATTGGTAATATTAATCAGGATGTTTGGGATCAGTTGATGGCACCTAGTTCAGCCTCTCCGCCTCTTACTTTGACTCCCTCAACTGTTGCTATTGTCTCAAATTGCTTACCAACAGACATGAACCAAATTTTCTCCAGCTCAGAGTTGTTAAATCTGAAGCATTTAAACTCCTTCAAATGCTTTTGTGTCTCTGGTCTCAAGTCCACTTCCATGCCAACCTACTATCTCATACTAAGCTAGGAGGTATAGAACATTGAGAAAGTGCTTAACCACATTTTCTCCTACATCTACAATAACAGTTGCATCCATCCCTGGTTCTGCTGTTTACCCTTCAAATTCCTCAGCAGTCTCCCCTCCTTATCCCTGCTATCCACATACTCCACATTAACACCAACATACCCCTTCTTTCCCTCAGCTTTCAGTACACAATAGTTCTGACCTTTGCAACTTCCAACATCAGCATTTATGTCTCTTGATAACCCTCTATTTTTTAAAAAAAGGCCCTTCTCTTTAGCCATGCTCTGTTCCCTTCAGTTCCAATTTCCTCTCCAATCACATCAGGTATTGGGCATTGTGGCAATTAACTCATTTCATGACTCCACAGGATATGTCAGGAGGCTACTGGAATACTTTCCACTTGCTTGGATGAACACAGCTTCAAAAACTGAGTGAACAATCCATCTCAGTCTCCTTCAAGGTGCCCAGCATTACACATGTCAGTCTTCAACTGATTCAATTCAGTCCCTGAGATATCAAGAAGTGGCTGAAGGCACTAGATACTGCAAAGACTATGGGACATGACAACATTCAGACAACAGAACACAAGAATTGGGCTTCAGATCAAGCTTTGCCTTAGCCAAGCTCTAGTTCAGCTATTAACACTGACATTTACCCAATAATGTTGATAATTATAGAGTCATAGACCCCTTTGGTCCAACTCATCCAGGCTAACCAAGTTTCCCAAACTAAACCAGTCCCACTTGCTTATGTTTAGCCCATATCCCTCTAAATCTTGCCTATTCATGTACTTATCCAAATGTCTTTCTGAATGCAATAGTACCTACATCTACCACTTCCTCTGGCAGTTCATTCCACGTATGGAAAAGTTGCCCCTCAGGTCCCTTTAAAATCTTTCTCCTCTCACCTTAAAAATATCCCCCATCCCAGGGAAAAGACCTTGCTATTCACCTTATCTATGCCCCTCATGAATTTTATAAACCTCTATAACATCAACTTCCTACACTCTAGTAATAAGAAGTCCCAGCCTATCCAGCCTCTCCTTATAATTCAAACTTTCCAGTCCAGGCAACATCCTGGTAAATCTCTTCTGAACCCTCTCCAATTTAATAATACCCTTCCTATAGCAGGGCAATCAGACTGTACATGGTACTCCAAAAGTGGCCTCACCAATGTCCTGCTCAACCTCAACATGACGTCCCAACTAATTGTGCAAATATTAATCCTGAATTGATTCGAAATTTTCAATAAATGTATCAATTTGTTTCAATTCTTTGTCCCATTAAATTTTTGAAAAATTAATAATTAAAGAGTTATTAAAATCAACAAGAAGAGAGGCAGGAAATAATTCACCTCTTGCAAAAATTCAAAATAAAAAATAAATCTACACAAAAGACTCAAATAGTTTGCCCACCAAACGCTTGACATGCCTTTATACCAACCACTTCAAATGCCTCCACACCGTTGTCTAGCTGGTTGGGAATTCACATCTAACTATATTCATATCAAGGACATGGATAATAAATGCTGGCCTAGCCAGCGATACCCATATCCCGTGACTGAATATAAAAAAAACTAAATAGCTTTGCTGAGATAACACAGCGTAGAGCTGGATGAACACAGCAGGCCAAGCAGCATCAGAGGAGCAGGAAAGCTGACGTTTCGGGCCTGGACCCTTCTTCAGAAATTTCTGAATTTCAGGCATTTCTAAAGAAGGGTCCAGACCCGGAATGTCAGCTTTCCTGCTCCTCTGATGCTGCTTGGCCTGCGGTGTTCATCCAGCTCTACACCTTGTTATCTCAGATTCTCCAGCATCTGCAGTTCCTACTATCTCTAAATAGCTTTGCTTCCCACTTCTGCATCATTACCTCAGGTATCCCCTAAGGGGAGATCCTTGGCTCCTTCCTATTTCTCATTTACACATGGCTCCTCAATAACATAATTAGAAAACACAACACAAGTTACCATATGTTCACTGATAACACCCAGCTCTATCTTACCGCATTTCTTGACTCCTCCACTGAGTTTCAAACTGTTTTAGCAGAAATCCAATATTACATGAATTGAAATTTCCTGCAACTAAATATTGGAAAGACCAAAAATGATCTTCAGTTCCTGTCACAAACTCTATTTCTTGACTGCATGCCTATTTCATCCCTCTCCCTTGAGGCTAAGTCGAACTGTTCACAATGTTGGTGTCACAACTGACTTGGACGTGAGCTTTCAATTTTTTCCCCTCTAAGTCATCAAGACTTCCTATTTCCACCTTCATATCATCATTCAACTCTGCCCTTTTTAGTTCACCTCCTGCTGATCTATACTTTTATTGCCTTGACATGATTATTCCAGTGCACCCATGGCATGCTTCTAATTTCCTACCCTCCAACTTGACGTCATCAATCTCTGCTGCAACAGTATTAATTTTCATCAAGTCCCATGCGATTACTGACCTACATTGGTCTTCATTTAAAAGTCTTGATTTTAAACTTCTCATCCTTGTTTTTAATTTATACCTTGGCCATTCCCATCCCCAACTCAATAACTTCCTCCAGCTCCACAACCCTCTTAAATAATTCAGGTTTCTTAAGCATACTCAATTTCAAATACTACCATTGATAGCTGTGCTTTCAGCTACTTCAGCCCCAAACTCTGGAATACCCTCCCTAACATTCTCCCTCTGCTTTCCTCTTTTAAGACACTCCACAACACCTATCACTTTGACAAATTTTGTAAGTCTGTCTCAACGTTTACTTGTGAGATTCAGAGCCACATTCTGTTTTACAACACTTCTTATGGAGCACTTTGGAACTTGTATTAAAAGGCACTATATAAAGACAGGTTGTTGCTATTGACTGCACAACTAGTGCATATGGTGGAAGATGATAACAAGGCAGCACCACACCCATTTGGAGATACCTTAAACAAGAACAACAATGTGAGGAAAAATTTTTCATCTAGAGTGTGGTTGGAATCTGAAACTCACTGCCCGTAAGGGTGGCAGCGGCAGAAACTTTTAACAAAGTATTTAGATGTATATTTATAATGCCAAGCCATTCAATGCTACAGGCCAAGTGCTTGAAAATGGGATTAGAGTAGCTGGGTGGTTGTTTTTAACAAGCATGGCCACAATTGGCCAAATGGCCTTTTTCTATGCTGTAGATCTTTATGACGCTATGACTCTGGGATTCAACCCTAGTAGTTTGAGACAAAAAAAGCTGACTTCCCATAACTTGCACTGTCCAGCAATGCTAGCACTTAGAGCTGTAATTCAACTCATCTATAGTGGCTGGAGTTCCAGGTTCTCAATGTCTGGGAGAATGTTCCACAGACAAGTGAAGTGATAAATAAACTTCGACAGCTGCTCTTCTGTTGCTACCTTTTCTACACAATATAATCTAAGTACAGTACTAAAACAATGAAAATTCTATAATTCAGTTTTTAAACTGGTAAGACTTCTTACTACACGTACCTTTGGAAGGTAACCTAAAAGTTTGCTGGCATGGTCTTTGAGAAGTTTCTGCCTTTCTTCTTCAATTATGACTTGGAGAGCTGCCTTCTTCCTCTCTTCTTCATACTGTCTTTCAAGTTCCCGTTGCTATAGAGTATTAAAACCCATTAATCAAAATGTACTAAAATGTATATATGTAGAACACACAACTTCCTAGACTTCTTTTTAAGAAGCAGGATGCAATACAGAGTACCAGGGCCATGACTGAACTTAGTGACAAGTCACATGTTTAAATGAAAAAGTACTGAAATGTTGATCCTAGTATAAAGTGACATACAAAAACGTTAATATACACCATGAAAAACAGAAATTGCTGGAAAAGCTCAGCAGGTTTTGGAATACTGCATGCAGTTCTGGTCTCCCTGCTATAGGAATGCTGTTGTGAAATTTCAAAGGGCTCAAAAAAGATTTACTAGGATGTTGCCAGGGTTGGAGGGTTTGAGCTATAGGGAAAGGCTGAATAGGCTGTGGCTATTTTTCCTGGAGCGTCAGAGGCTGAGGGGTGATCTTATACAGGTTTATAAAATTATGAGGGGCATGGATAAGGTAAATAGACAAGGTCTTTTCCTCGGAGTGAGGGAGTCCAAAACTAGACAGCATAGGTTTAAGGTGAGAGGGAAAAAATTTAAAAGGGACATAAGGAGCAATATTTTCATGCAGAGGGTGGTGCGTGTATGGAATGAGCTGCTAGGGGAAGTGGTGGAGGCTGGTACAATTATAACATTTAAAAGGCATGTGGATGGGTATATGAATAGTTTAAGAGGGATATGGGCCAAATGCTGGCAAATGGGACTAGATTAATTTAGGATATCTGGTCTGTATGGAAGAGTTGGACCGAAGGGTCTGTTTTTGTGCTGTGCATCTCTATGACTCTATGAGGTCTGGAAGCATCTGTGGAGAGAAATCAGAGCTAACATTTTGGGCCAAATGAACTGATGATAGCTAGGAAAATATCAGTTTATATGCAGTAGATAGGGTGGGGGCAGGGAGTAAGGACTAAATGATAGGTGGGGCTAGACCCAAGGAGAGAACAATTGGACAGACAAAGGAGCCAGAAATAATCTGGCTAGGAGGGTGAATAGTTATTAATGGGGACTGTTAGTGGCTAACAATGGGTAGTGTGTAATAGCAGACTGTGATAACAAGGCCTGGTGTGTGGGGGCTGGGGTAAAAACATGGGAAAGCTCAAGCCCTAAAGTTATTGAACTCAATATTGAGTCCAGAAGCTGTAGGGTCCCCAAGCGGAAAATGAGTTGCTGTTCTTCCAGCTTATGCTGAGCACTGCAACAAGCCTGAGACAGAAACGTTGTCCAGGGAACAGGGTGGTGTGTTGAAGTGGCAGGCAACTGGAAGCTCAGGGTCTTTTTTTACGGAGAGAACGTGGATGTTCTTTGAAGTGGTTACCCAGTCTACACTTTGTTTTTCCAATGTACAGGAGACAATATTGTGAGCAACGAATGCAGTAGACTAGATAGAGTGAAGTGCAGCTACAGCACTGCTTCACCTGGAAGGTGTGTTTGAGCCTTTGGACACTGAGAAGGAAGGAAGTAAATGGACAGGTGCATGGGAAGAAGCCGTGAGGCTGTGGAGGGGGGAAGGTGTTTAAAGTGAAGGAAGAGTGGATCAGGGTGTCGCGGAGGGAAAGATCCCTGTGGACGACTGATAAGGGAGGGGAGGGGAGGGGAATGTGTGTCTGGTGGTGGCATCTTGTTGGAAGTGGCAGAAATGGCAGCTAATGATCCTCTGGATAAATAAACACCAATATCTTCTTTTATACTCAAAACATGAGCAGACTGTTTTGAATAATGAAGAAGTAATCTTGCTATAAGAAATAGAATCCTAAAACAAGCACTATTAAGTAACAAGGTGTCAAACAATGAATAAAGCATTTTGCTTAGTAAAAAGAGAGGCAATATAAAAATCAAGGATGCAATTCTAAACCGGGTGCAAAGTACACATGCATGCAAATCTTTGAGACTGAAAAGGCAGGCTGAGAAAGCAGTGAATAACGCATACAGGATCCTGGGTTTTATAGACAGAGGCATAGAATACAAAATACAGTGGAGTACTGTGCACCAAATTTTAAAAAGGATGAGAAGACATTAGAAAGGTATCTAGGAAAGAGAGACTTTGGTTATGTAGGTGGACTGGAGAAATTAAGAATATTTTCTTTAGTGAAGGGAAGGCTCAGAGGAGATTTGATAGACATATTCTAAATTATGAGAGATCGGGACACAGTAAATAGGGAAAAGCTATTCCCATTGTCAGAATGATCAAAAACCAAAAGGACACCACTTTAGGGTGAATGGCAAAAGAACCAAAGGAAACATAAAGAAAAGGCTTGATCTAAATAAAAACACTACATGTAGGATCTGGACTGCATTGCCAAAATGTGGTGGAGGCTGATTCAATTCATTGCCTTCAACAGGGAACCACACAGTAAGGTGTAAACTTGCAGGCTACTGGAAAAGTCAGGCTAACCGAGTAGCTTTGGACAAAACAGGTTGTGTTGCCTTGTTCTATACTGTGAACAATCCATGGTTCCATAATGTCTAACAACGGGGCAAAACAGCATTTTATAAATAATATATATTGCATACTTGGTTTGCTTCAAATTGTTTGCGTCGATCTTCAATCATTTTCTCCACAGCTTTCTTATGCTCAAGCTGTTTCATACGTCTTTTCTGTTCATTCATCTGTTCAATACGGTCATCCTCTGCAAGTTTAGCCATCATCTTCCTTCGTAATTCATCTTCTTCTTCTTTCTCTGCCTGTATACGCTTCTGTTTGAAAGCCATTTGGTCTTGGTAGGTCTGCTGCAATTCAAGACGCTGATGAATTTGCTTCTCCCTGTCTGCCTGTGAAAAAACAAAGTTAAAATGCAACACATCTTTGCATTACCTTATAGTTTAATCTTAACTGTATAACAAGGTGAAGCAATATCGTCTGGTACTATTGTAGCTAGAAATAGAATTTCCAGCCTAAAGGTCACCTCTCCTGTAAGAAGATTGTTAATTGCTTTCATTTCATATGAAAAACCAGGAGTATAATTATATAATCTTCTATTCTTAAGAACAGCATCATGCACACACAAATGCTCAATCTTAAATTTGGAAAGGAACCACTGAAAAGGAAGAAGTTAGGAATTGCAACTCCAACAGGATTCTCCTCCTCATCAAATGTGTGCAACAACAGTTGGTCATCACCATCACCACGCACTGTTCTGCCAAAAAGACAAGTTCAAGACTTTTTGGAGGCATCCGTGATCAAGTACTAGCATACGATTGACTTTGTCATTGTTCAAACCCAAGACCAAAAGGATGTCTGCATCACCAAAGCGATGACCAGTGCAGACGACTGCTGGATAGACCACTGGCTCATCAGCTCCTCTATGTCCATCAAATGCCACCAAATGCAGCTAAAGATGAAGAAACAGTTCAGAAACAAGCTCAATGTTGAACAGCTTCAAGAGCCAAGCAAACTAGTGAACTTCCAACAATGGCTTCACCAAAATCTCCAAACAGTTAACTTTACTGTTTATTGAGAACTGACCACAACAGCCAAGACCTCATCAAGAAGATGAATGCTCTCCATACCTAGCAAAACAGTGAGGCAAAGAGGAGAACATATCCAGCAAGAACTTATCTGAGGTGGAGTTATAAAGAAGAATGATGGAAATCAAGAATCAACGGTGAAATGAGAAAGCTAAGGAGCTGTAACACCTTGCTAGCAAGCATGACACCTGACACCTGGAGTTTCTTCAATGTCACCAAAGCAATACACAACACAGCACAGCTTTGTCTTAAACTGGTGCAGAGTAAGGATTGAACCCTTTTGAGAGAGAGAGAAAACATCAGCATCTAATGAAGAGAACACTTCAAAAATATCCCAAACCATGATACGATCATTCATTGACGAGATCATGTTTGAGGAAATCCCCCAACTGCCCATCAAAGATGATCCTGGTCTGACATAAGTCAAAACTGCTATTAGACACATGAAGAATGGAAAACCTGCAGGAGTAGACAGGATTCCAGCAGAGATTTTCTGCTCTCTCAAAACAGAATCTTCAAGCCTCATTTAATGCCTTCACGAAAGCACACCAAAGTGGTCTCTGCCTCAACCTCAAGACAACTCAAATCATTTAGCAACTTGTCCCAAGTCAAGCACCAGTCCATCCCTCCATTAAGATTAATGGCGAAATCCTCCCAAACATGAAACATTTCACCTACTCTGGAAGCTACCTCTCATCTAAGGCTGACATCAATGCGGTAATTCAATATTGCATGCAAGCGCTGGCTTTGGCCACCTAAGGATGAGAGTTTTTGATGACCATGACATCCGTGCTTATACCCAAGATCCTCGTATACAAGTTAGTCATCCTTCCCGCTCGTCTATATGGCTCTAAAACTTGGACTATGTCTAGATGCCGCCTCAAGACTCTTCAGAAATACTATCAATGCTATTTATGATGGATTCTCTGCATCAGTTGGGAGAACAGCCATACTAACATCAGCACCCTTGAAGCAGCCAAAAGGGCCAACATCAAGGCTACAATCAATCAAAACCAACTCCGTTGGGCTGGCCACATGCTTAGGATGCCTAAGTTCCGGATACCAAAGCAAACCTTCCTCGCTCAGATGAAGGAAGGCACTCAAACTAGAGGAGGACCAATGAAGCATTTCAAAGGTGCCCTGAAGGCATTCCCTCAAGAAATACAATGTAGATGTCACCATATGGGAAACCCTCACTTAGAAGAAACCGACTTGGAGGGAATTCTTCTATGAAGGGACACAATTTCTTGAGAACACACATCCTCAAGAGGAAGTACAGAAAAGGAATGTGAAAAAGCAAGGTCTATGATTTCAAGGCCAGGACCACTCCCACCTCCCAGAAACACTTGCCAAATGTTCAATTGGAGATGCAGCTCTAGGATCAGGCTCCTCAGCCATGAAAGGAGCCAAAGAACCCATGACCAATGACACAGAATTTCCTGCACGGACAATCATTCTCATTAACAAGTGATTGCTGATGACAACAAATTGCAAGTACCCTTCCTTCACTGCTGATTGCAAAATCCACGTCATTACTCTTGCAATCTTTGCACTACATTTAACATTCTTACATTGTTATTGAAGAAAGTTATTTTAAAAAGTTCAGGAAATCTTTTCACTCATGTGATGTCCACTAAAATCTCTCATGCTAATATAATGAAGATTTATAACAATTATTATCTGAATCTGCATTTCCTAATAAATTATATATGATGTTAAGATACAAATACTGGACTATGATCTGAGTTGACATGAGTTAAACAAAACAAATGTTTCCTGGAGATGAAAATACCAAGGATAGTAAAAGATATATGCATATCAGGCTCAATTTGACACCAATTTTTCAACTGCAGCACAAGATAATTATTATATGTTTTCAATGCACCATCTTAATACTTTTACTGCCAGAAACAAAGCAACTTTTACTTTAAGAAACAAGATTATGATAACGTCTTTTGGATACTGACTATTGCTTGCTGCCTGCGAGCCTCTTCTGCTTTTTCAAGGTACAGTTCTTGTCGGACATTCTCGAGTTCTTCACGTTCATGCCGTTCTTTCTCAATTTCAGCAGCAAGCTATAGTGAAGAACAGGCCAGTTACTTGTTAGAAATTGGAGTTTAAAAGTTAGAGTATTTAGGAGATGTACATGGAGACTGATGTTGTAAACAAATTTGTTACCTTTTTGTACAACATATTTTTCTGTTCGTCTCGTTCTCGAACTTTGGCCATTCGGTCAGCCTCCCTGTTTTGTTGTGCATTAGCGAACTCCTTAACTTTTCTGTTCTCTGCTTCCATTCTTTCACGTTCCATTTGTTTCCATTCAGCTCGTTGCTTCTGGAATTCCTCAATGTACTTCTGAGTTTCCCTCCTCTTTTCCATCTTCAGCTGTCTGTCCCTGTGCAGCACAAGTGAGTTAAATAGCTGTGGTCTCATCCAGTGGTCCAATTCTAATATCACAAGCTAATATCATTAAGGGGCATAAATATTAAAAGTTGGCAACTCAGTCAGCGCTGCAGCACAGATTTGCAAAGTGTTGGACTTATTATTTGTTTGCAAAGAGATAATGTGATCAATTCACAAGAGAAGAATCTCATAGCAATCTGAGCGACATGGCAGAATCAGATGAGAAGTCCAACGAGGCCTACCCCAATATCGGGAGCATTTTGGTGCAATTGTTTTGCCTTTGCTGAGCACTAAGCAGAGTTTCTTGCTAGGCAGCAGCAAGTTGTCAATTAGGAGGGATTATTGCTTGTTAAACACCTTCTAAACAGTACAGCCCTCCTCATGAATGTTCAGCTTCCTATCTTACCAAACATGCTAAACAAGTTACACGTCGAGAAATCTCTCGAAGGAAACCTGAATGGGTATCTGGCAACTTCAGCTTGCTGTTGGTTGTAAACAGCTTCCACATTGATTGGCACCGTACAGCATCTCTGGGCACCAATTAAACGGATTCCTTATCCACAGACCTTGGCATCCAGCATTTGCCAACTACTCACAACCATCATAGTACCTGTTTAATTCACTTGTAGGCTGCTTAGGGAGAAAAGGTCTGCATTGCAGGAACACTGGCAACTAGCACTGAAAGACTACAGCAGGAACACTGTGTGCGGGGACAGGCACCTGGCACACAGATTGGACTAGGCTACATCTCAGAGCTGCTCACTTGCTCTCAGCACTTCCTCATTTCACACCTACCTGCATGCTCACAGTATCCATGCCTTGTCACTTCCCTGAATATAGAGCTACTGACCACTCAAATATTCTTCACGTACCAAGTCTAAACTTGTTCCTATCCACTGTCCACATTTTCAAGAAGTCTTTGGATAGAAATCAGGAGCAGTAATTTTGGATGATATTTTCCACCTTTTCAACTAGTAATTGCCAAGTCAACTAGTATTTGTCAAGTTCAACCAGAGTACTTGAACTGCTGTCCAAACTGATATCAGCTACTTAGCACAGCTGATTCATTGCCGTGAGAAGTTCACTATAAATATATTTGAGAGACAATGTTAGCTCAAGTGTTGATATTAATTTATGACCCTTTCCCAAGGACAATCATATCCATTTGCTTCCACTAAATGCAGTGATTACACTCTTTAAATACAAGTGACATCCAGAAGCAAATTAACAGTACAACAGGCTTTAACAGATTAAATCCTTATAGGAAATTACATCCATGGAGGAGGGATGGGAGGTCAGGAGAGGGAGGGAGGGAGGGGGAGAGAGAGAGAAAGAGAGAGAGAAAAGATTACTCACGCATAAAAATACATTTATTTTAATAAAACTATATTATGGATAAAATTCAAGATATGCTAATTAGTTAGGTTACGTTTACCTCTGATCTTCTTCATAGATCTTTCTTACGATTTCATCAACTCTCAGTTTATCTTTTAGGAATTCATCATATGCTTCCTGTCTCTTTTGTTCATTTTGATCAAGTTGCTGTTCGAGGTCCTTCTGATACTTTACAGCTTTTTCATGGCGTTTCTGTTCCTCCTTCAACTCCTCTGTGGTGGCTTTTTCATGCTCTTCCTTCATCAATTTTGCAATCTCAGCCTCTCGTTTCTAGTGAAAAGGATAACTATACATATGACTCCAGAACCTACAGCTATCATTGCCTCTCCCACCCTCTCCACAAAGACCACACTTTAGCTCTTGACAAGAATCAGGTTTATTGAATGTGGTTATAGATTGTGCATAATCCAAATCTTTAGGCATTATAGAAGCATATTTGGCAAGAAAACAAAAACTGCCAGAGTTTTAATTGAGTAGCACTTTTATCAAAGTATGAAAATTTGCAGTTTACTTGTCCTGATTACTGTAAGACTACCTTTTGGAACCTGAATCACAGGTGTGTGGAACTGGAAGTTCAATTTCCAGAACAGACTAGGGTGATTGAGAAAAATTGGAAAATATTTTAATCTCATAAAGGTTTCATAGGGGATGAATTAGTTAGAAATAAATTGCAAGTATGATTAAAGTTTTAAAAAAGTTAAAATGACAAAAAGGTCAGGGTGAGTAGAATTATTTAAGAATTAGCATTTCATACAGCAATGCATGGAATTAATATGGTCTATGATGCATTGATAGAATATGCGACCCAAAACCTTTTGAAAATAAATTTGAAGAATAATTCCCTGGATTTGCCAGGAGCTTACAAAGAAGCATACAACATAATATGTATGCATAAACAGGTAGTCAGTAAAGGAATAAAATATGTGATTTCTGCCCTTGTAACACAAAAGCTATTTCTGAGCTATTCTCATTAAACTGCTAACACACGTAAGCACAGTACTTACAATCTTTTCTAAACGATTTGCTTCTTTTTCAGCTATCTGGACAGCTCTTTCTTTGTTCACATAAGCAGCCTTCAACTTGGCTTCCAAATCACGAAGCTCAATGCTAAGTTAGTTATGCAGAAACACAAGAATTACTAACAACATAAAAAGTAATCACATGAAATAGTCACACTAGTTTCATATTGAAATGGTATATTGGGCTGAATTTTATTTGTCTTTCATTGAAAATGATTTAGTCCGATATCGCAATAGTCATAGCCAACAAACAAGTCTCCAGTGAATGTTTCAGACGGCATTGCTGAGATTACAGGTGGAGAACTGTGCACAATATTGGTCTCTTTGTTCAATGAAGGATGTATATGCAGTTCAGATAAAGTTTACTAGACTAATATCAGAAATGGGCAGGTTGTCTTACAACGAAAGGTTCGACAAGCAAGGCTTGTATCTGCTCGATTTTTGAAGCATAAAAGACAATGTGATTGAAACATGAAGGCCTGAAATGAGGTGGATTGTAGGAGTGATTAAATGTCAAAATGGATGATTGTGTAACACTAAGCAGGAGGCAATGGAACAAGTTTTTTAAAAATCTATAAATGGCAACAGCACTACTATTATCCACTTTAGTAAAAAGCAAAATACTGCAGAGGTTGCTAATCTCAATTAAAGTCAGAAAATAATGGAAATACTCAGATCAGACAGCTCATTGAAAGAGCCAAAAACTTACACTTAATATTTATTCATGAATCAATCAATAATCTAGCAATGGGGCCAGTAAATTCAATTGGCTTGATAGCTGGTTTGTGATGCAAGAGTGCCACTAACAGTGAAATTCAATTCCCACACTGTGTAAGGCCACCACAAACTCTCTGCCTCCTCTACCTTCCCCTTCAGCCGAGGGACGGTCACCCACGGGTTAAACCCACCACCAGTCATCTCTTTCTCTCTCCCTCTCTACTGAAACAGCAGCATATGGTCCTCTAGGACTATGGTGACTTTCACTTTCACGATCTAGGTTTGTGGTCAAGGCTCATCTGGGAAAGGAAAAATATGGATTTATTTTACATTCAATATCATTAGTAAGAATGTGTTTCTGGTCACTCTTAAAAAAATACATTCCTTAGGGAGTACCTTAATCTTCACAACAGCGAATTACCTTTCAAAGATAATTAGTTGTGCGGTATTTCTAGCAATGTGATGAGGTAATATATAAATTTGACACGCTTCTCCATGTTACCTGTTTTCTCTGACTTGCTGTCTCAATTTTTCATCTTTTAGTTTTTCATACTTTATTCTTTCTAGTTCCTTAGCAATTCTCTCCTCTTGTTCTAGTTGTTTTGCCTTCAATAGTTTTCTTTTTTCTGCCTATTACAAATATTTGAAATAGTCAGGCACAGTAAAGCATGAGAATTACATATGTTAACCAATAGAAAACAAGCTCTTCAAGAATTTTACTAATGATCAATGCAATTTAATTTTATACATCTGCACTTGAACTACATTTTGTTTTATCGAATAACAAGTTAAATTGAAATATTTATATAGCAGAACTTCGTATCAGCATTCCATTATCCATCTTCATAGTTCTTTGCTTGAATTTTCCCAGCATAATGCTTTGAGAAAGGCAACACTGCATTACACGACACCAATCTCCCTCAGCTGAAATAACTCAACCTGAAAACTAAACTCAAAATTTATTTGGTAAATTGTTCTTTTTTTCATGCCTAGGGATTGGTGTTCCATTCAGGCATGACCATACTTGGTATTTAAATTATCCACCAATTTATAAAATCCACTAAGGTAAAGATATTGAGGGGTTCATTATTTTTTTTCTCCTGACTTTCATTTTCTTTTAAAAAGTGAAAGTCATGTAACCTTCACCTAGCAGAATTACAAAGCATTTACAACATGGAAACAGGCTGCTTCAGCCAACAGGTCCATGTTTATGCTTCACATGAGTTTTTTCCCACTTAATGCCTAAGAAAGGGATGGTAGAATCCTTCTCCATCTGAATTAGGAGTTGCGCTACTCACCGCAGTATTCCTAGCCTCGACCTACTCTTGTAGCCACTGTATTTATACAACAAGTCCAGCTGAGCTTCCGATCAATAGTAACCTCCAGGATATTGACAGCAGGGGATTCAGTGATGATAACACCACTGAATGTCAGCGGTGGGGGGGTGGGTTGGTTAGATTGTCTCTTATTGTAGATGATCATTGCCTGGCATTTGTGTGTAATGAATGTTACTTGCCAATTGTCAGCCTAGCCTGGATATTGTCAGGATCTTGTTGGTTTTGAATGTGGACTGCTTCAATATCTGAGGAGTCATGAATGCACAATGTTCAGCAACAATCTATGGTGAACATCCCCACTTCTGACCTTATGATAGAAAGAAGGTCATTGATGAAACAGCTAAAGGTGGTTGACTTAAGATATCATTCCTGAGGAACTCCTGCAGAGATGACCTGGAGTTGAGATGACGGACCTCCAATAACCACAATCATCTTTCTATCTGCCAGGTAGGAGTCCAAACATCTTGCCCCTTGCCTCCCACTGATTCCAGTTTTGCTAGGGCTCCTTGTTGCCACACTCAGTCGAATGTGGCCTTGATATCAAGAGTTGTCACTCTCACCCTGAGTGACCCTGATGGAAACCATGTGGTGTCCTCCCTCAGCAGATGAATCAGTACTCTTCTGTATTGGACAACGCTTGAATGATTTGCTGAGGGTGACAAGGGCACAAGATTACTGTGGGTGGGAGATTTCAGTGTCCACCACCAAGAATGGCTCACCAGCAACAATTTTGATCGAGCTGGTCGGGTCCTAAACGTCATGGCTGGTAGACTGTGTCAGCGGCAGGTGGTGAGGCAACCAACAGGAGGGGAAAACATACATGACCTCAGCCTTACCAATACGATGGCTGCAGATGCAATGTCCATGACAGTAGCCGTAAGAGCGACAACCGCATGGTCCTTGTGGAGACAAAGACCCACCTGCATTAGTTAGCAGGTTATTGCTGAGTATTTGCTGAAATTACTTATTGATGACACCCTACATCACTTTACTGATGATTGAAGGTAGACTGATGGAGTGGTAATTGGCTGAGTTGGGTTTGTTCTGCTTTTTGTGCACAGGACATACCCAGGCAGTTTTCCACTTTTTCAGATAGATACCAGTGTTGTGACTGTATTGGAACAGCTTGGCTTGGGAATCAGTAGGTCTGGAGCACAAGTCTTCAGTATTCTTGCTGGAATGTTATCAAGTCCCATAGCCTTTGCAGTATTCAGTGCTTCCAAATATTTCTTGATATCATGTGAAGTGAATCTAATTGACTCATCACTGGCATCTGTGATGCTGGGTACCACAGGAGAAGGCTGAGATGCATCATTCACTTGGCACTTCTGGCTGAAGATTGCTGTAAATGTTTCAGCCTTATCTTTTGCACGATGTGTTCAGCTCTTCCATCATTGAGGATGGGAATATTTGTGGAGCCATCTCTTCCAGTGAGTTGTTTAGTTGCACACCACAATTCACGACTAGATGTGGCATGACTGCAGAGCTTAGATCTGATCCATTGGTTACGGGATTGTTTAGCTCTGTCCATCACTTGCTGCATATGCTGTTTGGCATACAGTAGGCTTGGTAGCTTCACCAGGTTGACACCTCATTTTTAGGTATGCTTGATGCTGCTCTTGGTATGTCCTCCTACACTCTCCATTGAACCAGAGTTGGTCTCCTGGTTTGGTGGGAATGGTTGAGTAGGGGATATGCCGGTCATGTTGGAGTACAATTCTATCCCTGTTGATGGCTCACTGCACCTCATGGATGCCCAGTGTTGAGTTGCTAGATCAGTTCGAAGGCTGTCCCATTTAGCATGGTGATATTGTCATGCAACATGGAGATTATTCTTAAGTGAAGGTGGGACTTTGTCTCCACAAGGACCGTGCGGTAGTCGCTCTTACGACTACTGTCATGGACATTGCATCTGCAGCCATCGTATTGGTAAGGCTGAGGTCATGCATGTTTTCCCCTCCTGTTGGTTCCCTCACCACCTGCCGCTGACACAGTCTACCAGCCATGACGTTTAGGACCCGACCAGCTCGATCAATATTGTTGCTGGTGAGCCATTCTTGGTGGTGGACACTGAAATCTCCCACCCACAGTAATCTTGTGCCCTTGTCACCCTCAGTAAATCATTCAATCATTCTGTCCAATACAGAAGAGTACTGATTCATCTGCTGAGGGAGGACACCACATGGTAATCAGTAGGAGGTTTCCTTACCAGGGTTTAACCTGAAGCAATGAGACTTCAAGGGTTCCAAAGTCAATGTTGAGGATTCCCAGGGTAATTTCCTCCTGACTGTATTCCACTGTGCAGCCACCTCTGCTATGTCTGTCCAGACAGTGAGACAGGACACACTCATGGATAGTGATGGTGATGTCTGTAAGGTATGATTCTATGACTATGCAATGTCAGGCTATTGCTTGACTAGCCTTCCCAATTTTGGCATTATCCCTCCGATGTTGGTAAGAAGGACTTTACAGGGTCAACGGGTTATTGTTTCCAGTGCCTAAGTCGATGCCAGGTGGTCTGTCCGGTTTCAATTCTTTCTTGAGACTTCACAGCGATTGATACAACTGAGTGGCTTGCTAGACCATTTCAAAGGGCAGTTGAAGAATCAGCCACATTGCTGTTAGTCTGGAGTTACATGTAGGCCAGACAGGTAAAGATGGCAGATTTCCTTCCCTGATGGACATCGGCGAGCTAGATGAGTTTTTCCGACAAACAAAAATGGTTTTATGGTCATTAGTAGATTCTTAATTCCAGATATTTTTTATTGAATTCAAATTCCACCATCCACTGTGGCAGGATTCAAACTTGGATCCCCAGAATATTGGCTGATTTTCTGGATTAATAGTCTAGCCATAATACCACTAGGCCATCACTTCCCCTATGTGAACTTCAAACAACCACAACTCAATCCTGTATTGGTAAATATTGTTTAATTAAAATGCTGTAGAATCATTTTTCCCTGCATTTTTTCTCAAAATGAATTTAGTTATAGATTAAGCATAGCAGTGCCCTTATCAGACATCTGTAGCAGATCAGTCAGTAAAGCCTATTGGAAAATTTATTCTTAAGCTATTACATAAATATGTGCCTTACCTTCTAAACCTTCTAAATTTATACTATCAGTATGGAGTATTTTGAACAGAAGAATAATAAAAATTTTAAGCTCTGTAATTGGGGGCCTAGCATCTTAAGGTCTTTATTCCTTTATTCATTCACGGGATGAGGGTGTTGCTGGCTAGGCAGCATTTATTGCCCATCCATAATTGTCCATAGTTACCTTAGGCACATAGGAGGGGGAGGCAATGGCCTAGTGGTATTATAGCTGTTAATCCAGAGATCCAGATAACATTCTGGGGATCTGGGTTCAAATCCTGCCATGGCACATGGTGGAATTTGAATTCAATAAATATCTTGAATTAAGAATCTAACGATGACCGTGAATCCATTGTCGACTGTTGGGAAAAACCCATCTGGTTCACTAATGTCCTTTAGGGAAGGAAACTGCCATCCTTATCTTGTCTGGCCTACATGTGACTCCAGACCCACAGCAATGTGGTTGACTCTTAGCTACCCTCTGGGCAATTATGGATGGGCAATAAATGTTGCCTAGCCAGCAACACCCTCATCCCGTGAATGAATAAAGGAATAAAGACCTTAAGATGCTAGGCCCCCAATTACAGAGCTTAAAATTTTTATTATTCTTCTGTTCAAAATACTCCATATTGATCGTATAAATTTAGAAGGTTAAAATTCTGTACTTTTTTAAATAAAGGAAGCATTATAATTTATCCTCCTTTCAGCATCAAATGTCTATTCTAATGGTAGCTATAAAAGAAGATTCCAGACTGCACTTCCCCAAATATGAAAATATAAGAAAACATTATCCTTCAAAAAGTAACTAAACAAACAGACAAGCATACAAACAATCCAAAATTTTCAGGTCAAAGGACTTTCATTGGAGCATCATGATCATTCTCTGATGAAGGAGCACTGATCCAAAATGCTAACTCGTTTCTCGCTCCACCAATGTCACCTGACCTACTGAGTTTTTTCCCAGCATTTTCTGACTTTACTTCAGACTTCCAGTACTTGCTGTTTTTCAAAATGCAAAATACTAATTTTAGGTTATATGAACTTAAAATAAGTACTGTCATGCAGAAGATCAGAATTATCACAAAGGAAGACTTTTTTCCTACATCTCTCCAATATCTCAAAGGATATTGGCTAGAAGAAGTGGGAAGACCTGATGTAATACATATATCCATAGATTTTTTGAGTATAGGTCTATCTTTTACCCTGCAAACATGCTCAAACCAGCAAACTCACCGCTGGTGATGAGTGCTAACATAACTTGGGAGGTTTGCCTTAAACAGTACTGTTGCATTCCTGTTTTTCTCCTTTTCAGAGAAGCCCAAAATGCACCTGAAACAGTGAAGATGAAAGTTTGCTGAGAACAGGATCAATATACAAAAATCTTTCAATAAAGCAAGGCAACTGGAGCCAGAAGACCACTAGATATATCCAAAGCTCTGCTTCAAGGATGCTTGCCAGTGTGAGATGAAGGCTCTAAGTAACAGTTTGGCATCTGGGAGAGATGTGGTCTGGTCAAAGTTGATACCAGGTTGGCCACAGCCACAAACATTGAAAACAACATACAAGGAGACTCGATAACCATTTCATACGTTGCACTTGTGCCAGATCATGCCTCTCAAAAATTGGTCTCTTCAGCCATCAGCAAAAGTGTGCTTTATGAAGCTATGAAGATTTGCTGCATGTCAATTATCTTGTAAGGATGTAGATGGGTCAATGGATTAAATGCACCATAAATAAACAGAGTCTGTCAGGATAACATGTGCAGTCAAAACTATAATATTGATCAATTATATATGTTTTTATTCTTAATTTAGTTAATATTTGCAAATGGAATTGTGCTAGTTTTAGAAAACATACAGAAGGATGTCAAAGTAATAAAGTAGTAGGTGATGAAAAGTGATGAAAAAGAATTAATGCTTTCATTGCCATAACATTGGACACAGCAAAGCCTATTTCGAGAAATTAAATTGGAATAAATTGCAGTAATAGGAAAGTTTAAGGAGATTTCAGATAAGGAAGCAAAAGGCAAGGAAGGCAGAGTAGCCATGGTACAAACAGAACATATTTCCTTGTAAAGTGCTATGAATAAAGAAAGAAACGGCTCAGGACAGTCATGAAAATTCTTATTCCAAGATGGACAAAGAAAATCATACTATTGGAGGTTCTGAATGTTTTATCTCAAAAGGGGAGCTATTTCCTCATGCTTTGAATCAAGGATGCAAACCAAGAAAGATATTAAGAGACACTGGAGCACGTCAGCCACTGTTGCTGGCAGATGATGCTATTTGTCTTCCAGAGCAGTTCGTGAAGGAGAAAATATTAATTGGAGGTATTAATGGAGGTTATGAACATGTTTCATTATACAAAGTTAGACTAGAGAGTGACTTGGTAAATGAAGAAGCAGTAGATAGAGTAAGGAAATAAATTCTCTACAGAAGGAATTAACTATATTTTGGGAAATGACTTTTCAGGTTCAAGCAAGGGTGGTTGAACAACAAATGGAGGTAGAAGAAACTGTAACATTGTAAAAAAAAGAACATTCTGGTTTGTTTCCTGACAGTGTCGTGACTAGGTCTCAGGGCCACAAAATTAGACAGGAAGGAAAGAAGTCTATGATGCAGAGATATGATTTGGAAGTGCAATTATCGGATACAATTTTTGAAAATATAACTGAAAAGGATGAAGGCAAAGAGAATGAAGTTTATATATTTAGTTTAAAAAGGAATAAAAGAAAAGAATTGCAACTGAAGAGTTATACATAATAGCCTACTCAGAAACTGAATCAAAACCCTCATCCAAGCAAAGTCTTAGTGACGAAATGGACATCACCTCATATCAGCCATAAGAACGGATAGTGGTCTGAGGGTTGGTAGTTCCATCTGTGTGTATAGTGAAATTTTACAAGTGGCTCATGAAATTCCAATGCAGGTTGCTGAAGTAATAGGTAAAAACAAGGTTAAGTATTAAAATATTTTTATTGGCCAGGATTAATTAAAAATGTGGTCCCTTTTTGCCAGACGTGCCATACGTGTCAGGTAGTGGAGAAACCCCAACTCTCAATTATACCTGCATCTTTAATTCCAATACCAGCTTTTAAAGAAGGCCTTGTGTAGGACTCCTACCTAAAACGAGGAATAAGAACCAGTGTCTTTTCACAATAATGGATGTTTCCACAAGATTTCCTGAATCAGTCCTTTAGGAAAAATTGTGGTAAAGTTGTAGTATAAGTTATTTCAGTTTTTTTTTAAACAAGACATGGATTACCCAAAGAAACACAATCAGATCAATGATCAAATTTTATGTCACAGATATTCAAAGAAACGACGACTAGTTTGGGAATTAAATAATTCACATCTCACTCACAATGCATTGGAAAGATGACACCAAAATTGTCAATTTCAACAATGTCAGAAACAACTGCAAATGAAAGTCAATCAAAATCAAAAAGATTAGGTTAAAGTTACGAGTTTTAAAGACCATATCTTTTGTAATATCTAACGTGTTCTAAATAATTCCTTAAGTCATGAAATTTCAGTCTGTCATTGTGGTTGTAATTCCAGTCTACTACAAGAAGAAAAAGTCTCAGATTCTAGTATTTCATGCATTTAATTCTCAGTATTATAGAGCTCTCTCACATAAAATCATTTTTTAATTTTAATTTTTAAAACACAATAACACTTGTTACATTTCATTTCTGTTTCATATTGAGGAGCCTTTTAATATTAAAAGTGATTAAGTACAACACAAAATGACTGTTGAACATGACCAGGAGCAGGGAGTGGATACCTGTGCCAAGAGCTAGCATCATTTCTCCACAGGTGTGATGATAAGGCTGGGACAAGATGGTGAGGTCACAGGTGAGTGAGAGTGAGCAAGAGGAGGTGGATGCTTCAAAACAAAATAAATTATTTTTATTTTGTCATACAGGCTACCTCATTTTATATCCATTGTTAAACCGGCAGCTACTTAACATCACTTGAGAATGATGCAAGCTTTATTTCTGCCTTTGCACCACCTACAGGTAGTGTTCATAGGTCACTCTGCCTTTAATATTTGGCATAGAAACAATAACGAACAGAACAAAGCAACGTTAGATTGCTACAGCATTATACTGTCTTTTTCGAAAGGAAAATCTGGCGAGGGACTCCAGTTACAGACAGGCTGGGGCTGTTCTCCTTCAAGCAGAGAAATTTCAGAGATTTGAAAGAGATGTTCAAAATCATGAATTAGTGTTGAAAGTCAATCACATAATAGCAGCCAACTTTTTGACAAGTAAGAAAGCAGGAAAGATTTTTTTTGAAACAAACAGAACATGCTGGAGAGTCTGCGAACTACCACAGTAACATCAAAAGGACTCCTTGCACAGAATGTAACAGCATCTCTCTCTCTCTCATTTCCAAATCAAGTCTTGTACTCTATTACTGTATATCTTGTAATATATCACAGACATGGAGAATTTTAATTGAAAGGAATTTCAAGTACCATAGAACCCATTCTGGCTTGAAGCTTGAAAAGAGATGACCTCCAGAAGGGAAAAAAACAGCTTACAATCAGCTGCAACACCACTTGAACTCAAGATTTATAAAGGAACACTGAAATGGGATAATTCTTTTTACTTATATAATCTTTAACCTTTCACAATTCCACCTCCTCCAGTGTATAACTTCCTTTGCTTTTACACCCCAATGTGGAAATTGGGACTGCATTTAGATGTAGTGGGAGGGAGGGGAAAAAATACATACATTGGCAGCAATGGTGAAAAATCATAAATAACCTTTTACTTTTGTAAATATATGTTAACTTGCACTGTTAATGTCTGCTGTAGTATAACTTTCACCGTTGGAACTCATTAAGTGGGAGGTGATGGCCTCATGGTATTATCACTAGACCGTTAATCCAGAGATCCAGATAATGTTCTGGGGATCCGGGTTCGAATCCCACCACGGCAGATGGTAGAATCTGAATTCAATTAATATCTGGAATTAAGGGTCTAATGATGACCGTGAATCCATTGTCGATTGTTGGGAAAAACCCATCTGGTTCACTAATGTCCTTTAGGGAAGGAAACTGCCATCCTTACCTGGTCTGGTCTACATGTGACCCACAGCAATGTGGTTGACTCTTATCTGCCCTGTGGCGTTTAGGGATGGGTAATAAATGCTGCCTACCATGTAACACCCTCATCCAATGAATGAATAATGAATAAAACTCATTAAGTCACACCCATGTGAGAGATGATCAGTCTTTTCAGACATCCAAAGGATGAAGAAAATTATAATGACCAAGTGATGCTCATTTATCACAAAAAAAGCAGCTGTTTGAGTGCAGATAGCCTCAGACGTCAGATATTCTTGAATCGTGACATGGAGTGCTGCAGTCAAGATATTGCATTCTAAAGTGGACAATACTGAGACTAAATTCTACATGCAGGAAATATCCCAGAGCATGGCCTGCACATGTCATTCCATACTTAGTCCCACATGTGAAAATATGGAATCAGAGAAGATTCCACATATATTTGCAAGGAAAGTTTTATTTTATATGTCAGATTTTAAAGAGAGCACACTGCCATTCAAATTAGGGAGATGATATCCAATCTCCCTCAAAGCACATTGGACTGCTGAAAAAGGTATATAAAGCATTGCTTCTTGAAGGTTTAATGCTGTCTTAAAGAGCACTCAAGCATTTCAGAGCAATTTGGCAATCTACGCATACTGAAACATTTATATGTTCCTGCTGATAGAACGATCAAAAGGTGATTCTGTAGGATTCCTCTCACCTTGCTGGTTATTGTGATGATCTCTAATATACAGATACTTGCATGTAAAACTATAAGACATTAAAACAGAAATAAGCCATTTGGTTCATTGAGTCAACTCTGCCATTCAATGAGATCATGGCTGATCTGATAATCCTCAACTCCACTTTTCCATCTTATTATCATAACCCTTAATTCCTCAACTGATTAAAAATCTGTCTTCCTCAACCTTGAATATACTTAAAAACTCAACTTTGACAGCCTTCTACAGTAAAATATTCCTCAGATTCACAAACATTTAAGACAAGAAATTTCTCATTTCTATCATAAGTGGAAGATCCTGATTCTGACATTATGCTCTGATCCTAGATTCTCACACAAGGGGAAACAATATCTTGGTATCTACCCTAACAAACCCCCTAAGAATCTTATGTTTCAATAAAGCTACCTCTCATTCTTCTAAACTTCATATGAGTACAAGCTCAACCTGTTCAAACTCTCCTCATAATAAAATCCCCACAGACTGGGATCGACCTAGTGAATCTTCTCTAGACAGATCCAATGCCAATATATCTTTCCTTAGATAAGGGAACCAAAACTGTACAGTAGTAAAGGTATGGCCTGAATAGTGTCCTGTATAGTATTAACAAAACCTATTTATATACTTTATTTCCTTTGAAATAAAGGCCAACTGACCACTTGCCTTCCATATTATCTGCTGAACTTGAATGCTAGCTTTCTACGATTAATGCATAAGGATTCCCCAAATCCCTCAGTGCTGGAATTATCTGCAGTCTCCCTCCATTTAAATAACATTCAGATTATCTAACCATCCTGCCAAAGTGGAAAACATCACATTTTCCCGTATGATATTCCATCTCATTTACCCTGTATCTATTCTTCTCAAGACTGTGTCATCCTCACTACTTGCCTCCCTACCCATTTTTCTGTCATCCTCAAACTTGACAAAAGTACATTTACTTCCCTCATCCTAGTCCTTAATATATATTTTATATAATTGTGGACATAGCACTGATCCTTATGGCACTCCACTAGTTGCAGGCTACCACCTGGAAGTGCCCTCTTCATCCCAACTCTGTCTTCTATTAATTAGCCAATCTTCTATCCATGCTAATATACAATCCCCAACAGCATGGTCTCTTATTAAGTAGCCTTGTGTGGTAACGTACGAATGCCTTTTGGAAATTCAAATATATTACATCTATTGGTTCCCTTTTATCTATTCTGCCTATTACCTGCTCAAAGAATTCTGATAAACCTTTGAGACTCGATTTCCTCACCATGCTAACTCTGCTGGTTATAGTATATGTTTCTAAAAGTTTTGCTATTATATCCTATACAATAGTCTTGAACATTTGCCCAATGACAGATGTTAAGCTAACTGGTCTGTGGTTACCAGACTTTTCTCTCCTTTTTTGAATAAAAGTGTTCCATAATTACTGGAGAAAGTTCCAGATTAAGGATTCTCAGAAAATTACTACCATCGCATTCACTATCTCTGCAGCAACTTCCTTTAAAATCCTAGGATGCAATCCATCAGGTCCAGGGGGCTTATTAGCCTTTAGTCCCATTTTTTTCCATACTATTTTTTCTCCAGTGGCAGTTATCGTGTTTACTTCCTCGCTCCACTTAGCCTCCGAGAAATGACTCTTGGATCCCCCAGACCTGCCTCACCTCCAATGTTACCTTTCCATCCTTGATCACAGACCAAATTTACATTACATAATCTAAGGGATGTATCTGCCTCTTGGAACTAATTGTCCAGGTAACTCAACCCCTCCCTGACATGGTGCAATGTCTTCACCTCAGACTCCAGCTCAACTTGCATCCGAAGTTGCGAGAGCTACAGATACTTCGACAAACGTATTCACTGTGGATCACATTGGTGTCCAGAAATTCCCACATGTTGTAACTGCAACACACCACCCAACCTGCTGTCTCTATCATATTTAAGTTAATCACTGCAGTATCCTTCCTCTTTCTACTTGAGCAATTCCCATTCTTTTACACTTCGTAGTTTTAAAAAAACACCAGTAAAAATCTTATACCTAACAAGCACTTTGTAAGAAAGAGAGACAAAAATAACTCAAGACCCAAACAGAAACTGAATATCTTACTTTTACTTAACAGACTAGAAATGCCCACAAATCAGCAAGAATGTTTTGGAAAAAGCAACCATTATCTCATTTCTTCCTCCACTTAACCCTTTCAGGGGTTCGAAACCCAGCATTCAATCGTAAGTCGCACTCTCAAGTGCAAAGTCATTCCTCAGAAATGTTCCGAGGAAGGGTCACCGGACCCGAAATGTTAACTCTGTTTTTACCTTCACCGATGCTGCCAGAACTGCTGAGCTTTTCCAGCAACTTTGTTTTTGTTCCTGATTTACAGCATCCGCAGTTCTTTTGGTTTTTATTCAGTTAGGTTCTGTCTGGCTGTTTAGTCTCTGTGAGGCATTGATCTGTCATACTTTCTTGGACAGTCTTCTTCAGCAATGCCCTGATCTTCAGCCTGAATTTTATCCCCAGGTGACTGACGTCATTTCCACAATTTGCTAGGACAAGAGGGCATAGCCTCAAGATTAGAGGGAGCAGATTTAGGATTGAACTGAGAAGGAATTTCTTCACCCAAAGGGTTGTTAATCTATGGAATTCCTTGCCCAGTGAAGTAGTTGACGCTACTTCAGTAAACGCTTTTTTAAAAAAGGTAGATTTTTTTTGAACAATAAAGGAATTAAGGGATATGGTGAGAACGCGGGTAAGTGGATCTGAGTCCACGAAAGGATCAGCCATGATCTTAGTGAATGGCGGAGCGGGCTCAAAGGGCCAGATGGCCTACTCCTGCTCCTAGTTCTTACGTTCTTATGTTCTAATTTGTAGCATCCAGGACATTTACAGACAAAGAACAGGTGCACGCACAGTTTCAAGTCAATAAAACAGGTAACAGCCATTCTCTGGTTCTTTTCTCAGAGTAATGTCTTGATCGATCAGATTCTGTCTTGTTGGAGATGGATCCCTGCCTAATGTTTGTGCAGTTCAAATGATATGTGCTCTTATCAGCCCAATCCAGACAGATATATAGGTCTTGTTGCATTTGCTCATGGATTGATTTAGTATCCAAGGAATCATGCAAGCTATTGAACATTGTATATATTTGCTAATAATTGCACATTCTAATTTTATTATGGAGGGAAGGTCATTAGCAAAGCAGGTGAACGTAGCTGGGCCCGAGGCCCAGGACATTAGGATAGTTTTAAGATATCAAGACAAGAGAAGTGTGTAATCTTGAAATATTTCTTCCGAATAACAAGATGCATTTTCCTCAAGTCCTGGACTTTAAGTAGTTCAGCCATCAAACTGGTGCTGTGATTCATCAGACCGACAGTAGTTGAAGCTCCAGAATCAGAATGATGGACCCACAGCGAGCTAATGGTATGCAATATTTGTCCAATGTTTGACCAAAAACTGAGCTTGTCTATCAATAAAACCACTAACATTTACAAAGTCCAAACTGGTCAGAAATATCCTGCCTTGCACCAAATATTGCATACCCATCAGCACCATCTTTGCTGAATTACAGTGGCTCTCATTTCCTAAGACATTACATTTAAGATCTTTGTCTTTTTACATACTTTCATAGTCCTGAAACACCTATTTTTGCACTTTCCTGCAAGACAAATGTCCTCCAAAAAATGTTGCTCCCTTCACTTATATGCATTCCTTTCCTTTGACTTCCTAGGTGGTCCCACTGTCTGACACCTTTCTGAAATCTCTTTATTCTTCACCTCTCAAAACAGCAAAAGCCATCCTGGTCATCTTCCTAATCTCCTCCTTCTTTTCCTTGGTATCCTTTCGCTTACGTATATTTGGGGAGTGCAGATTACTCAAGAGTTAGTTATTTTAAACACATGCCCCCCCCGCCGACCCTGATTACTGACCAGAAGCTGAATGCTGTGTTGAAAACAGAATAACAATGATAAGTGCCCGAATACTTAAAGAGAATGAGGTTTTATTTTAGAACAGAATTCCTTAGTAAATATTAAGAGATCCTTACTTGAGACGACTGGCACAGTCCCTATAAATTAAAACAGCTAAACAATAATGAAGAACTTTAGTAATTTCTTTACCTTTATAATTGCTTCTTCCATCAGTTTCTCCTGTTCTATATCATTTATTATCCTTTGGAAGCGCTTCATTGGTGCCATTTCATCAGATCTCAATCTGGTCAATATTGACTTTTCTTTTTCCAATTTTTGAAGAAAATGTGCAAACACTGATTTATCATCAATCTCATTTTCCAAAGGTAGGCTCTCTTGATTTTTCACAAATTTAGTTGGGCAATAATAAGCCTGTTAATTATAAAGAAAGAAGTGTACATTACATAAAGAATTTCCTCCTCCAGATACAGATATAGAAAATAAAGTAAGTCAACTTCAGATGTCAAAATTCATTTGAATGGTATCTGTAATTCCAATGATTCCCTGGATTAATAAGAATTTAACTGTTTACAAGTGGATATAAAGTTCTCGCACAAAGATGTGTTGTATCCAAACCAGCATGGCTATATATAGAAATAGGGGGAAAATAAACAGTCCTGGATCTTCCAAGCAGACAGCAGACAAGCTGAAATAGTCATTCGGACCCACTATTTTGTCTACAGACTAGTTCTTAATAGTCAGGGATAGGTTCAAATCCTACCAGAAGTCTGCTAAAAGCACATGATTTTTAGCCATTAGGTCATTTTCATAATTATTCACAGGTCCAAAAGCAGGCTTACATGAATCTGTGAAGTATGTCAGTGGTGGAAGTGGAAAATTGTGAAAGGAAATATTAACAGACCAAATAAACCAAAGTTAACCATTCGGAGACAAAATCCCCAGAAGTGTTAACACAGCATCAAAAAAAAGTTCTATTTGTAGTCTTTGCCAAGGTTGAAGCAGAAGACTAAGAAGCAACAAGTAAAAATTAAAGGAAATCCTGATGTAAGCACAAATCTGTAGGCAAGTGGTTCAATAAAAAGTGGTGAAATAAAGGATGGTGCTGCACCAAGTGTTTTCAAGGAATGCCCTCTGTAAACTCTCCCACACAGTACAGGCTTGTGATCTCTATTTGACCCAAACTTCAGGTTTGTAATCCAAAACACTGCCCTAGTTGGGGAAATCAGAGATGAGGAATCATGAAAGTGAAACTGCCATCAAGAGTGAGGGTTGTTTTTAATAAATATGTATGGAGAAAAAGGCATAAATTGATATCAAGGTTGACAATCCCTTCAAAGGCTTTACTGACACTGTGTGAATAGTGTGGTGCCACCAAGAAAGGCTCTCTCAGGGCATTTGTTCAGTATGTGGGCAATGATCTGGCTTGGATGGCCATTGTCACAATTTGAGCAACTCCTCGAATTCCACATGTGGTACAAGTTACCACATCAGCCCTAGCCCACCCTCATCTTGATGATGGTGTTCAAAATTTCCATGGAAGGTTAAATTAACGGGAGTGATGAGATCACAGGTTTTATCAGGCTACTGTTGGTGATGTCCACAGTCAGCCCGATGGTGCACCATCGAGAGGGGAATCGGTCATCAGATCGTTGAGTGTGATGTGTTCCAGTAATAAACATGGAATTTTAGTTGAGTGCATGATTTAGTTTGAAGTTCCGGCATGTGAGTATGTCATTAGCAGTCAACCAGTATCACTTTTTAAGGAGGACAAGAAAACGTCCCATCTGGAAATAGGGAAGAATTTTACATCCACTTCTATGGCTAAAAACTCACAATCCCAAAACAATTTATCATTCTTGACCATACATTGACCTGCTTACAACACCTCCAGTACACCAGAACCAAACTCAAGACAAGAGTGAATCTCATCCAGAAACTGGCAGATACATTCTGGGGAAATAGAACTGAAATACTCTGCATGGCTTTACCATCTGGAGCTGCAAAAGCTGCCATCCTGGTCTATCCAACAAGAAGCAACTTAACGGAGTGGTCGAGGCAGAAATCATACTATCTTATTTGACAACTTAAATTAGGACCTCTATGTAAATTATGATTGCTTGAGAGGGCCCCGTATCCTGAAATCTTCATCCTTGCTTTTACAGCTCTAGACATATTCTAACACTTCTCACGCTAATCTCCCAACATATATTTCAATCAAAACCCTGTTGCCTGAGTGCTATCAGATATTAAACACACTTGAATGAATGAATGATTTTACTGTCAAGCGTACTTTACAGTGTAAAATACAGTGAAAAGCTTCCTCTGTCACCATGATCCGGCACCATTTTGAACAGTTTAAGAGTAATTTAGAAAATGATAATAGCTAAAAAGATCTGTAACCCTTCTGCCACCGCTTCGGTGCTGCCAACACCAGTCACCACCAATGTCAAAGTTGCCGCTCCTCAAGCATCATCTTTCACACGCATTGATGTCAACTTCTGTGCTTACCCCTCCACCAGCCGCCTCAACACCACTGCCAGAGTACTGCTCCGGGCTCACCAGCTGCCTCGTCACCGTCTGTCTGGGCCCCACTCTGGGCTTACCAGTCCCCTCACTGCTGCCAGTCCTGCTCTGGGTCACCAACCACCACCACATGATTTCAGGATTCCTCATCCAGACCCCAACAAAGCCACCTACCTCAATGCTGACGCCATCAATGCCACCACAATCGAACTCTCCCCAGAAGGTAAGTAGAAGCAAAAATTTAAAAGAAATAAAAAGAAAAGCAGATTGAGTGGACGAGGCCCTATGCTCTGCCTACTCCACTGCCATCTTGGTATGATCATAGTTCCCATGGCCTGCTGGCTGAAGAAAAGTTACCTGTAAATTAAACAATCATAACGGCTCACCAAATGTATCTAATTAGTTCAAGCTAATGGTTCAAAGTTATCAATCCATGCTATAGTTGTCCAGGAAAGGGATTATTTGGTGGTGAAACTCTGTGGTGAATTGCTAAAGTATCTGATCTGAGAATTTTTAATTAAAAATGATGGTACTGCATTGCCAGCATCACCAACACCTCTCTGATTTATATCGACATGAACTTTTAACTCACAAAAATTTCCAATGTGATATTTTTCACATATATACACATATAATCACTCTTCCTAATACCTAATCTCCCCCTTGCCTCCAAAATATGTTCTTGACTTTGACCCTTCATACATCCCAAGAGTGCATTTTGGTGTTCCCTCCTGAATATCACGCCCCACACCCTTGCCCATCTGCATCTCGAACACTTCTGTTTCCAAGGTGTTGGTCACCCCTCCTGAAATATGTATTTTCTTAATCACTTTTTAAGATTGAATATCGGGGCAAATAGAAAAGGAAATTATTTTGAGAACCAGGTACACCCTCAACATTTCATCATAATGCGCACTACCTCCCTTGATCAAGGTAGGCTTGTCCAAAGAGTAGGTGAGCTTTACAGATTCCTGGCACAACTTTTTATCTGGCTTTGGATTAGAAAAGTGCCCTAACTGGTCTCAGAATTCCAGCTCCCCATCATACGAATTCAGGTCAGATTCGGGCAGCAGGACCATGGCTCTTGTGATACAACAACCCCAACTTTCTCTCACACAGAGGTTGCTGGAAAATCTCAGCAACATCTGTGGGGAAAACTTCCGAATCTTCGCACCCTGTCACCAGAGGGCACTAGCTGCCTACTGCAATAGATACTTAAAGTATGCTCACTATATAAAATCGTTAGCACTAACGTTAGTAAAATAATTTTGAGATCTTGATAGAGCCATGCAGTAATTCCAGTCAACAATCAACAAGTGGCAGAACCCGTGAACTGTACATACATATTTGCGACATTCCCCCCTCCCATCAATACTTACCATCTTTTACAGTGATGGTGTATAACCGTGTTTTATAAGTTATAATTTCTACACCTACAAACAGCCAAACTCTCCCCCGAGGCGAGGACCGTTACCCTGGAAACGCCTTTCGGCGCCTTTTCTCACCACTCAATAACAGCCACTCCGATTGGTTCAGACACACTTCTAAGGACCGTTACCCTGAAAACACCTTTCGGCGCCTTTTCCCACCACTCAATAACAGCCGCTCCCATTGGTCGAGACACACTTCTACTGTTGTTAGGGTTCATTCGCAACGACTTTGGTGAGTCTCAATAATTAGTTCAATGGCATAAGTTGAAACAATTTAAAGGAAAATGATATTGCATTTATAAATAGATCATTTTCAGTCAAATCACACATTCCCATACAGTTCAAGAAGATAACTTTCGTCGTCGATTCAAATACACGTGTCACATTCACAAATTTTATTTTGAAGCTAGGTTGAAACAACAACTAGTTTGGAAACAACAAGAATTCAGAACTACGTTGAGATAATAACCATTATAAATAAAGAATAATAAACATAGAATAGAATCGCCTGAGAAACCCCTCCACTCTTCAGAGAATCCTCTTGAGCACAGATAGTAGGAACTGCAGATGCTGGAGAATCTGAGATAACAAGGTGCAGGGCTGGATGAACACAGCAGGCCAAGCAGCATCAGAGGAGCAGGAAAGCTGACGTTTCGGGCCTAGACCCTTCTTCAGAAATGGGATAGGGGAAGGGGGTTCTGAAATAAATAGGGAGCGAGGGGGAGGCGGATAGAAGATGGAGAGGAGACAGACCGGTCAAAGAGGCAGGGATGGAACCAGTAAAGGTGAGTGTAGGTGGGGAGGTAGGGAGGAGATAGGTCAGCCCAGGGAGGACGGACAGGTCAAGGGGGTGGGATGAGGTTAGTAGGTAGGAGATGGGGGTGGGGCTTG